TATCGCGTCATCCAAAACATTCTGTTTTCCCGGCTTATACTTCACCTCGAAGCTAGACTACGCGAAAAAGGAGAGCCAACGAGCCATTCTCTGCGAGAAATGAAGCGACTGTGTCGCTGTGCGTAACGACGCATGATCTGTATAGATCACAAACGGCTTTGAGCCCAACAGGTGTACCCTGAACTTAACAAGGGCATACTTCATCGCAAGTAGCTCCTTGTCATGAACTGGATAGTTCTTCTCTGCAGCTTTCATCTGGCGAGACTCAAACGCGATGACGCGTTCTCAACCCTCAGAGTCAACTTGCAAAAGAGCACTGCCAATGGCAAAGTCCGAAGCGTCACATACGACGCTAAACGGGCGATCAGGATCAGGCAGAGCCAGAATTGGCGCCTGAAGGAGACTCTCCTTAATGGCTTCAAAAGCCTCGTGGTGCTCGGTGTTCCAACACCATTCCACATCCTTTTTAAGGAGATTCGACAATGGCCTAGCCACTTCCGCATAGTTGTGGCTATACTTGTGCAAGTAATTTGCCAAGCCCAACCACTTGCGGAAGGGTCCTTCTGGTTCCTCGAAACCGGCCAATCCACTATGGCTTTGACCTTAACAAGGTCTGCCCGGATTCCTTGCTTCCCAATGAAGCATCCCAAAAAGGGGAATCTCTTCCGCACCGAAGATGCATTTGTCAATATTGGCATATAACTTATGCATCCTCATGCAACCGAGCACAGCTCGCAGGTGCTCGATGTGATTCTCCACATCAGTCTTGCCATTTTCGGCTCGACTATGGACGAATATATCGTCAAAGTATGTCTGTGCATACGCCCTATGGGGCCGAAACAACTGCGTCACTAGACGATTGAACGTTGCAGGTGCGTTAGACAGCCCTTGGGGCATCACTAACCACTCCCAGAGCATACCGCTCGGAGTGCTGACCGCTGTCAGCGGGATATCACTAGCTCGCATGAGCAGTTGGTAATATCCATCGACTAAGTCGAGGGCACTGTACATTGTACATCCCACCATATTGTTCTGAAGAACATCCTTGCGATGAATCGGTGTTTGAGCCGGGATAGTGGCTGCATTCAGCTTATTGTAAGCATGCACTATTCGCCACTTCCCATTAGGCTTCCTTACACAAAACGTGGGCGTAGAGTGAGGAGACTTACTCTCACGCACCATGCCAGCCGCGTGCTTTGCACGAAAGAACTCGTCAATGACGTCACATTGTTCTCGTGGCAGCGGCCACTGTCGCGTCACACAATATTTGGTTCCTGAAACCAAGTCAATCTCATGACGTACACCTCTATCCGGAGGTAACACTCGTAGGAGGTTCTCTGGAGACAACATCTCCATATTCCTTCAACAAAGGAAAATAAGGATCCGAAGGGTCCTTCAGGATCTGTGATCCACTCCGCGCATTCAGCGCCTTCTTGATATCCTCAAGAACTGTTTTATCCAAAAGCGATGAGGAGTTCAACTCCTCCTCAGGTCGTATAACGACCACTTCGGCGATGTCGCCTGCCTGTAAGGCAATGCCAAACTCGGCAAAGGACAACTCGTCCAGCTCTAACAGAGCACTTACTGCGGGTATAGCTGAATGGGCCACCGGCTCTTCAACATCCCCAGTCAAACCATTGACGAGTGTATATAGCTGTTCGCTATCACCGTCACTCACGATATCATCATCGCTACTCATGATGCTCTCAGCATCCGACGCATCAGCGTCAACAGGTGTACACACCTCAAGGTCAAAGACCACTTCGTTTACTGACTGCACCCGACCCTCTTGGGTCAATGCCTCGTCATGAGGTGTTTGCACCTCGTTGTCCTCAAAGACAACCGTCATTTTTGACTTCACCCGACCCTCTTGGGCCAGTACCTCGTCGTTAGGTGCATGCACCTCGTTATCCTCAAAGATAACATCCATTGATGACTTCACTCGACCCTCCAGGGTCAGTACCTCGTCGTTAGGTGCATGCACCTCGTTGTCCTCAAAGACAACATCCATTGGTGACTTCACCCGGCCCTCCAGGGTCAGTTCCTCGTCACTCATGTCACTTGGACTCATGTCCTGACATCTTGGCTTGCAGCCACCAACACCACTCACGGTGTTTAATGATGTAACATCATTCTCATGACACATGTCATATGTGCCATCTAGTGGGTTCTCAACCACACTATCGACAGTCCTTGGGCCTCGCCCAGGACTATTGTCCTCGACACTTACAGTGTCTACAAAGTCGGATATTCCGACATCCAACATATTGACCGACTCGGTCCAATATCCGCGCCAAAAGCGCTTTTGCTTCCTAGCAGAGGTGGGTTCATGACTCTCCAGAGCCCCACCAGGAGCATTGCGCGTTGCGCCTAAGGTCTTTGACCTCCAATCAATCCATGGCTCATGACGTTCTAGCCATGCCATGCCTAGGATGAGGTCATACCTCGCATCCAGGTCTAAGACCAAACAGCGTTCCATGCTGTTAAAGTCCAAGAACTTTACAACTAACTCCATCGAGACTTTGGGTACCGTAACACGCGTACCAGTCGCTAAGCGAAGTGTGACTGTGTCACTTTCACGCGCTACAAGCGCTTCAGCATACTGCTGACTACCTTCCACGGTGGCACGGCGCACATAATTGCCCGATGCCCCCGAATCGATCAAAATGATCCATGGCTTATCATAGCCCTTAATCGTCCCTTCGACTACTAGCAAGCCTGGCTTGCATTCTCGTTCCATTTTTGAGAGTTCGGATCTCTTTGGGGCTGGGCCCTGTTTACTTCTACCTCCTAGAGGTTCAACAGAACTCAGTTCTTCCCCAGTAGGGCGCCCCGCGCCTACTGGGCTCCGCCGTTTCCCCGCGGCAAACCAGAAGGTTTACCCATGGGGCGTCGGCCCTTCGAGGCCAAATATGCCTTTCTTGCAGGGCATTTTGCCATCAAATGGCCTGTGCTCTTGCAGATATAACATCTGCGCACAATTTGCTGCTCCGCAGCTTGAAGCTCAGCTTCTTCATCCTCCACTTGACTACAGTCCATGGGTACAGACAGACCCATCAGACGAGTAGTTATAAGTGGCAGGCCTAGCGGCCTTAAAGTTGGTCTCGGCATTCCATGCCACTCCAACAGCTTCCTCGAATGAGGACGGGTTTACCCGGAAGACTTCCGTTCTGGCAACGCCAACTCGGAGGCCCTCCATGAAGACCGTGACGGTCACTGCCTCAGGCATAGGGTCTATGACCATGGCAGCAATGAGAGTTCTCAACTCTTGTACATATGCCGCAAGCTCACGCTTGCCTTGGCGACACGCCAAAAACCGCGACCGATTACGGTGTGCTTGGTTTGGCGGTGCATACTGCCGGGTCATCTGAACTTTCAGATCGGCCCATGTGGGAAAAGCATCTTGCAATGATGCACCACATGTGAATGCCCACTGTTTGGCTAAGCCACCTAACTTGCCCGTGGCAAAGCCCACACGGTACGGTTCATAGGTGATGTCGGCTATAAACATAGCCGACTCAACCTGTCGGAACCAAAGCATAAGGTTGTCACCTTCTTTGCCGTCGAACTTATCGACTTCCATTTGTATGGGTTTTGGTCTGCGGACCACTTCTTGCGCCATAGTCGCCATGGGCGAAGGCGCAGAAGAAGGCATCTGTGCCTTTACATGCTCGACTAGAGCTTTATTATATTCATCAAGCATATGAATACGCTTGTTAACCTCTTCTTCGCCTTGGGCGATGAGGTACTCCACGCCCTTAGGGCCAAGGATAGGGAGCAGCTTCTGCAACCCTTCCTGTTGTGCCTGTGACAGGCCAACCGCTGACATCTCATCGATGTCCATTCACACAAAGAGAAGTAGTCGCAAACCCAGGTGCGGGATTGACTACAAGTGCTACCAGGTGTAGCCGAGCTACTGTAGCCACGCTACTTATGCACTATGTGCAAATGCACTATGTGCAGAAGAAGTAGTCAAACTACTGTAGCAAAGCTACGTATGCACTATGTGCAGAGGAAGACAAGCTCAGAGAGCTTCTACGTCTTAGGGTGCTTAACCCTCCTAGGCTAGCTCGTAAGCTTGTGCCTATCGGTAGTAATAACCGTGTCTCAAAGAGACTAGTATCAAAGATACTGATTCCTTCTAAGGAATCAGAACGCTCAAGCTGTAAGGCTTACAGAGCAGGTTTGAAACTGATTTATATTTATGTTTATCTTCTAGCACTAAATATAGAAGCACCTACTCTATACTTAGTGCTAGTCACTATTTACTGGCTCTATAGCCTATTATTATTATGCAAACATGCATAGTCACTATACTTTAAGTAAGTATAGTGACCACGTGGCTCTCTGCCACGATGCGACCCTTCGTACTTCAGGTACGGTCACATCCCCTACTTTTGTACCCAAGGTACAGCCACACCACATTGGTGTGGCAGGTGTGTATGTACAATACACACCTTCGTGTAACCTCGTTATACCGTCTGAAGCCATGACGCGCATAGTTCAACAAATATAAGAAGAATGGAATACAATAGTACGTTTTGAATAATTCCGTGACATCTTATACAACGCAGGAACTAATTATCCTTTCAAATCAAATACTTGACGACATCCATTCAATACAAAATATATGTGGCGACACTTCGTTAAAACATAAGACTCGTTGAATCTGCTCGTTTAATCTTATTTTGCATTTACAGTAACTGCACTGCTTACGCTGAAATAGCTAGAACGGCTCGATATGATTTTGCTTCAAACAGTGCATTTAATGTCCGTTGCCACCAGATTATTGCAGTCCAATATTCGCTCCACGCGCAAATGCTGAACGTATATATTTGAGTATGCTGTATATAATTGTCTCCAAAATAGTGTCAATTCGCTTAGTTTAGTGTGTCTTACGCTTTTCGATGATAGGATACTTCACCATAGTTCTGTTCAGTTTGCTCGCTTGTTCGAACAATATGTTGGTCTCGACAACTTGCAGTCGACCTAGCTTCAAATCATGTGTCTTTACTGCCTTTCGCAGCTATTGGTTTCTTAAGCTTGGCATGCAGCCAAACACGATCCATCATGACTCCTTTCTTTCGATTACGTAGTCGAACGGTGCAGTATTCATTTTCCAGCATGCGAAATCCTGCTTGCTCGAACAGCTGGGCCAGTTCTTCACGCAAGAAAAAGGATGCTAAGGTACCATCGCTGCGGTAGTACAGACCCGGCGCCAATTTCTTAGCATTACGCCTCATGGCAAGATCGTAGCGTCCGTAATCACGAAAGCAAACAATTCCACCAGGTCGTAGCACGGCAAAAATCTTTTCTAGAGCACAGGCAAACGATTGTGGTGGCAAGGCCGACAATACAAAGACCATAAGCACAATATCAATGGAATCTGGTGCAACGCCTACTAGCTCCTCCTGAGCAATATCGCACACGAAAGCGCGACATCGCGTGGCATCGTACTCGGGGTTGTGCTGAAGAATGTCAATGGCAAATGCACTAAAATCACAAACTTGTGCGTGTACATTGGGACAAGCAGCAAGAATGGGGAATATTGCACTACCGTAGCCACATCCAAGCTCAAGTACTTTTACTACTTGACGTTCCGGTGCAGCACAGAGTTCTGGAAATTCCTTTACAAGGTAATTACGAGGCTTGTATACTTTGCCTAGCATTAACGATAACAACAGTAGAAACAGATCAAATCGGCTGTCAATCTTTCCATCAAATGACGCAAACACACCAAAACCAGCTTGACTAACCGTTGTTACGTTCGTGAAAAGTGTCCCACTTGTCCTTGGCCTCTCTTGCCAGCTCTAGTGTCTCGCATAAGTATTTTTGCTTGTCCTTTTCGTCTGCAGTATCTTCTCTATCTTTTTCATAAGCCTGACACTCCTTTGCAAGGTCTTTCCATTCAAAATCATGCGAGTGAAGCTGTACGTCACGCTTGGGTTGATGCTGATGGTGGGGTGTCATTGCATACTGCGTAATGTCATTAACATGAGGGAAACGTTCTCAAATCACGGGTTTCAAAAACATTCACTCTTTCTTTCTATGACCATCATTTTGCTCTTGATTTACAAATAATGGCACAAGCACAGCAGCGGCAGAAAACGAGTCAAAGTTGTCACGTAAAGCAAGATCCAGGAGACGGTATTGAGCACAATGGCAATCATAACACGATACGAATAGGTCATGTAGTATGTGTTACTAGTGTGCCATCAATTCTGTGTGCTAGTGAACGCACTGTGCGTGATTTCTTTGCCGAATATGGCATGTTATTGTCTGTTACGGTTTGTTAAAGAGCCATATCTAAGATTATAGTAGTTACATGTTTGTATATTGACTGAGTATGTATGTTTATGCCATTTTCTTTTGCTTCTATTGATACTAGATTCACCATAATTTCCTCGATATGGAACCAGACGGATTCATATACTTGGAATACACAGAGAAAGAAGCAGCAGAGCGTGCTATTGCTGCAGTGAAGGAGAAACGTGTGGGGTTTGCAACATGCACGGATACAAAATTGAAGACATTAGTACATCCATCTGAGATTATGGGAATGAAAGCCGCTATGGCAATTGCTCGGGGAAAACCAACGTTTGAAGTGAATGAGGAGATAAGGGACATTTTACTAGGTCGACACGAACTCAATCGCTTTACGCAGAGCCAACAAGATCGTGGTGACGACGATGATTTTATTCTCCAGAATTTATCGCAGCATTCATTTGCAACTTCTCAATCGAAGATGAAAAAGAAACGCCGCCACAATCAAGACGGTAGTTCAGGTGCAGCGAGACCGAAGAAGGCAAAGAGGATACGATTCACCAAGGTAGTAGTGTCGAACAAATAGACAGGCAGGCAGTCATGCGTGGTCGTGTGTAGCAGATGGATGATTGTACATTAACGATATTGTAGAGAGCTAGTTTTCTACTGCAACGATGATGACGAGCGCTTCTCTTTCATTCGGCGCAGAAGCAGTTGCATACGCTCCCGTGACGAGCATGTGCACGTGGTATAACCACAAGTTGGACATTCTTGTATTTTGGCCTTCTTGTTGGGTAGAATGTTATTGTATAAAGAGCTAGACGATTTGCCCTGTAAAGTTGGTGCTGCTGACAACGATTGATCTCTCTTACAACAAGTTTGTTGCGTTGGTTCCGCTGCAAGTAGATCAGATATAGCTTCATCGTCTTCATCAGCAGAAAACTCATCAGAACTAGAGGGAAGCTCAACAACTTCGAATTCCTCATCGCCAGATTCGTTCTCCCAGTTATCGTCATCTGCACTTCTACCAGTTATTGTAGCGAGTGCATGCTCCTGCTTGTCGACGCCTGCCTGATTAACACCCTGGCGATTCTGAGTAGCGCCAAAAGCCACGGCCGTTGATTTTCGTTTTGCATGTTTGCCTAAGAAAGTAGTCTGTGAGTTTGTGACCGAAGTAGAAGGAGCTAAACTTGTGATGCTCTTGCCGATAATTCGTCTCTCCAACGCAGCTAGCGCGCGTTTCATGCGCTCATTATCAGGCTGATTCAAGTTCTGTAGACGAAGCGGATGTCGAAGGCGTGGAGAGGAGGGTATATTACTGTCACCGGGTGCATCTTCCGGTTCCCATAAGCCACCAGGCGAAGACGACAGCGGGTACTGACAGGGAGTTTCTAGCGAGTTGGCACTGGCAACAGACTGATGACCAAAGTTGGACATTACGTTATCTTGTTCGACACAATCTACGCTTGATTTGTGATTGCCATTCGCATTAACTTCTTCATCATCCGTGAATTCCAGCTGCTCAAAGTCAGACTCGCTCTCTTCGTTGTCGGACGATAACAGTTCATCGTGCTCATAGTCGCTATCATCGTCTTCTTCGTCGCTCACCTTCTGTGCCAAGCGCGCGTCAGCTGAATCACTTGCTTGAGACAGTACCGTGTTCGCTGTTGGACTGCTAGCCAGATCGATTGGCATTGCAATCGGCATAAACTCGTGTGTTTGTGCGCCATCAAGCGCCAGTGCGTCAATATTCTGAGGGTCAGGTAAGGATACTTCGGTGCCTGTAACATCAGCACTACGCTCATTCCTCTGCAATTTGTCATCAGCATCGTTGTTTTCGTCCATGAAGGAGGGCCAGTTGTGCTTGCACGTTGTGTTGAGGAGCGTCGCGGGACTGATAAAAGACCACGAAGAAAAAAACAGCGCCGGGTGTAGATTTTTGCTTCTGCAAGATGACGCCTCATTCCCTATATCCTCAATACCAGTGTCAAAGGAAGGTATGCCGATAATAGATTTGCTGCCATCTGATTGAGCCATAAGAGGATTCCGTATTCCTTGACCGAGCTGATGGAGCTGTAATGCGGCTTCCAACTTTGCCTTCTCTGCCTCTCCTCGCTGATGCAACAGTCGGTTTCGTAGTTTGTCCTCTAAATGCTCTTTCATTGCAACGGCTAGATCGAGAGAGTCATCATCAGGCGCGGTCAGACCGATCTGAGCTACGTCTGATCGAAACTTTGACGCAAGTCGTTCCCAGCGTTTTCTAATCTCAAGACGGCTGCGGTGAGGGAGATAACTTTTTGAGAGGCGAGAAAAGGGAAACTTTTCGTTGTGAACCTCAATAAATCCCCGCGCAATCCGTAGATCCTCTTCTAGTAGCCAGCTGTTGTTGTGATGCTGCGGTGCCGCCCTCAAGTGTAGTGCTTTTACAGCGCTCATACCTGTCTTCGGGCTAATCAAGTACTTGTACCGATGTCGAAGATTCTTTGTGGTTTTAGTCGGAAGAAAATGTGCTCGAATTTGATCCCACGAGTCGGCTTGAGTACCAAATCGTTTAGTGCCGTGAGCGAGCAATGTGTCTTCTGTCGCTGAATATCCTTTTTTGCTTTTTCGGCGCTTTCTTGCAGATAGCAAATGTGTGTCAAGCTGGAGCATTTGCTCTTGAATAGCACGATCACGCTCTCCAAGCGAGCAGCCTTGAGCAAAACCAGCTGATAGTTCGTCTATAGATTGTGACCCTACCAATTCAAACATCGATGGATGAGCTACCGCTGCATGTGCCGCTGTCAGCGACCTCGTCACGCGTCGCAGATGCAGCAAATTCTCGGTGGCATTAGCGTCACCACTCTTTCCTTCCACTTTAGGCAAGTCAATGGAAGACAAGGTCTTATTGCTACCAGCATCGGCATCACTCTCTCCCGTAGAAGACCCACCTGCAACACCCATCGTTCCAGGATTCAGCTTTGACAACAGCGCATTCTTGTACCTGAGCGCCTTTTCACCTCGCTGTTGCAGTTCCTCAATCATTGCTCGACACTCAGCCAGCTCGGGTGACGCTGGTTTACTCATCAAAAGATGATAACTCTGAAGCAGCAACTGCAAATGCTTGTGCATTTGCGATGCTAGTTGAATGCATTGCGCTTGAGAAACGGCAACAGATCGGCCTCGCAGTCCTGCCGGTAAATTATCTGGCATGCTTCCAGTGACATTCGCCGTCTTTGCAGCTGTCAAACAATCCATCCTCACTTCTTTCGACGCAGCAGTAGACATCATACCTTCCTTGTTATTGTCCATAGTCCGCATCATATCATCTTTCCTTGTATCGAGCGTTACTGCTGGAAAAATAGGGAACGACATTTGCGTCGAGTCCAGCAGCAGATCCGTCAATTCTTTTTTCGAGATACCTCGACGAGCATCTTCGTCCTCATGCTCATCTTCTTCTTCTTCTGGTCGATACTCTTCATCTTCTTCGTCCAGGAACGATAGATTCACTTGGTCATCAGGCAATAAACTAAGTAGAAATCGCTGATATTCCCTATCTTCTGCCGTCTCCCCAATATCCTGCACCAGTCGATATCCGTCGTGTAATTTATTATTATTACATTATTGCACATCAAATGTACACTATTTTTGGCGCCAAAGTTAAAAATAGGATTCACAACTGGACAATTCATTTGGCGCCAAAATTCAGGATGAAAAAAAGACAATTACGTACGTGAATGTTGTCAAGTGGAAGAGAAGCTTCCAGTGTATCGATAGGTACATCTACGAGAGAAAACTTGGTTCGAGTACGGGCAGCAATCGTGTCTGCGCCAGTCTCAGCGCTCGTAGTCGCTAAAGATGTCGTTGTCATGTTGTAGAGTGTCGAACGTGATTACGTACGCGAATAGTAAGAAGAAACAATATGCGACGTGTGTCAAATAACTTGGAGCAACATTCTCACGATATACAACCTTCACGCGACATGTCAACCCATTAAGCTCATAATGATGCAAATAAAGTGCATGAAGCAAATGACGATGGTAGTGTATACACAATTATCTTCTGTTGCTACGTGGTGGAGTAGACAGCATGTGGAAGGTTGTTATTGTGTTGTACAGAGTCTTTGCTTTTCATATGGTATTGTAGACTTCGTTGGCAATGCATGGTATGAAGGAAGAATTGGGGGGCATGACAAGATTACGTAAAGCACAGAGAAAAAGTATCATCTAGTTCTAGAGATAACCATGATCACAGAATATTGCAGGGTAATGAACGATAAAATTTTCAGTACTTCCACAGTGGATAACTCTAATACATGGTGATTATCATGGATCAGCAAGTACAGCAACAGTCGAGATTGGAAACTGAAGATCCATGAGTGCTGCATATCGGGGCTTTGCTGGTGGAGCAATCTCTGCATTGCTAGCTGCTTCAAAAACGGTATCATCTCCTTCCTGGTTAGTTTGCTCAACATCAGTCTGCTGTTTGTTTGCGTCACGTGGCGAAACATGTGCTGAATGGTCTTGTACGCTCATATCCATTGTAACGACCTTGGCTGGTTCATGGCTGTTGCTATTTGCGTGACTATCCTCACTGCGTCGCTGCGGATTCACTGAAAAGCATTAGTGCAAACAACAACGTCACACATAATGTCAAAACACATACGTTCCACCAAAACAATACATCCCACAAAGGTTGTCTTACAAAAAGCATCCGTCGCAGCCTTGATATCCTTCGGCAGATTGACAAAACCTACTGATGAACCAATAGTATCCCGACAGATAGACGGTAGTCGATGCAGATAGCCATGACCAACCTCAGCACCTAGTAAGCCGTCACCTCCCCAGCGCTCTGTCGGCACTATTGACACAACTCGAACCTGATCATTAAGCGAGCTACATGTATCATAAATTGTAAATCTTAGCTAACCACTCGTCATTTTTAGCACAACAATTGAAACGCAGCCACTCACTTGTATACAAAACATTGGAATGACCCGTTTAATGCATCCATAATCTCATCATGCAGATCCTCTACATCCGTAAATACACATTCTGGTGTGCCTAGTAGATAGTCCGAGCCTGCTCGAAGTCCTGCACGCTTGGCCGGTGACGATTCTGCCACGTTCTACACCAACTCAACACGTAATAGTTGATACAATGAACGTATAAAAGGATAGTCACGTATGCAAAAGTACCAGCACGTGGAGCAACTGATCCTCTGCGCCTTCATACGAGTCAAAGCGAATGGTTACACCCAGTAATCCTTTGCCAGGCCAGTTACGACTAGGTGTCAAGTACAATTCTCTCGTCGTTTGTGACTTGACATTAAACACTCGAAGTTGCATGGCGCGATCTTCACTATGAGCAATAAGTTCCAGCAAGGTTGCATCACGAGTGTCCTAATTACGTGACACACGTCACCAAGAACCGACACTTTAGTTCATTATAATAAATGTTACAAGAGACATAAGAAGATGATCGTACAAGACGAATGCCATTTGCTTCCAGAATAAAGTCAAAGAAGCTGACAAAACCCACTGTTGAAGCAGGTGATTGTTCTTGAATGCCTAGAATACGAAACCCATAGCACTCACTAGTGTCTTCAATATCTTCATTGTCTTTCCTATGCTCTACCTCATCAACTAACGTCGAAGTCTCATTTCCCATATTTATAGACAGCTTTAATTATGAGGATGGAGTTCATACGTCGGGTCTGATCCGAAGATTAGCATGAGACCACATTAAGTCCGTTTAAGTACGAAGATAAGGAACTTAATGTATGTACGTATAGCTCTCGGATGATATAATTAATGTCTCCGCACGATTGTGCTAGGAAGAACGAAAGTTATGATATGATTTGATTGTATCGTCATTGAACGTACGTACGCGCTGCATATTGCGGGCAATAAATATACTCTAGAGATAGGAAGAGAGAGAATATATTACTACTATTACTACTACTACTGCTGCTGTATGTGATGGGAGATCAGATTCTACAGCATGATTCTGCTCAGCGCACGAGGGTACGTGACCACACGCGGTGTGAATCACCATCCCTTGCACTCATACAAGAGGTGTCAGAATATTGAGCTATTCATCACTTATCCCACAACATATGCAACTATCAATGGAAGGAAAATATGGAGAGCTCCTCAGTAAAAACAGCCAGTTTATATCCTCATTCTTCTTCGGACGGTAATTCCACTTCAAATAAAGATGGACATCACTGGAACTTCCCTTAGAAAAACAAACTACCACTATCATCTCAACTAGATTCACTTTCAAACCAGTCGCAAGTGACGGAATGTCAAAGCCATGGCTCAATCAAGCCAATTTGTCCATGGTCTGCTCAACACCAATGGTTAGTAAGCAACTTGATTCGTCAATAGGAATGGTAAATACACTTCGTAAAAACTAGCGGATCACTTGTCCATCAGCCGGCAGCTAATTATGAAGACAGTTGACTAGTATATGTCAATTCAGTCAGTCGGCAGAAGCTTGATGTTGCAACGATGTTGAATGATGGATGGTTGGCCTACAGGCGGCCAAGTCAAGCGAATCTTATTCTTTTGTCTCATGTAAAAATTCCAGACTAGGCTGCTACGTACCACGTCTGCCTCTAGCTTCAAAGCTAGTGAGCCCGTTGCGACATGGTTTATTGTTCTCGGTCCAGTGCATCTCCCTTACCAGCAAATGCTAACTTGGCATGAGAACTTTGAATTCTTGTCTAACTGGTAACGTCTTAGTCTTAAGCATTGCACTGCAGTCATACTCATTTACGTGGCTCGGCAGTACATACTGGCAAGTGATATGCTCGTCAGAATATGGAAGTGATATGCTCGTCAGCCGCCCTAATCGTGTGTATTACTGCACTCTTGATCAAGTCAGCGGTAAACCTCTCGTACGCAAGTAGAATGTTGCTGCTAAGTTAGCATGCGTGGCGGGCCACTGGTAACCGTTTTAATGGTACCAAACGTCGAGTATTCGAAAAGGCATGACCGTTTTGGCTCTTGCTGATGCAAGATGATACGGCGTTTCACGTAACAAGGCCGTTCGGAATCTGTATGCCCTCACTGAGCTCGTATGTTAAATTTGCTCTAATAGGGTTTTCACGACTTTTCGTCCATGTGTCCCCCTCATTTAGCTACTTTTGTGATTAATATTTACTAAAAACTGATTCCACGCGACACGGACACTGGCGCACAGTTGAAGCTCCATGACTGGCCATGGAGCTTCCATGAAGCTAGTAATCGTCTCATGCTGGTTTGTAGTTCCATCTGTCACTTGCGCATTACACCAAGTGTTGCCATCTGTTGGCCCAAGACAAGTGGTTGTACGATCGACGAAAGTTGGTATTTTACACTTGAGGTGACGGTTCAATTAAGAGCTTTCAACCCGACTAGACTGAGTCTTTGACTGCAACGTTTGCCATCTATTACTACAACCTAATGGCAAACGATGATTCACAATTCCACGACGCACCTACGTGACCAATTTATCCAAGATTGTCTCTGATTCGCTTCGTCTCCAATCGGCGGGCAAGTTGCAAAAATGATGTCAAAAATCCTGGAAAAAGTACTGTCGACCAGTCTCTCTCTCTGCGACGCTTAGTATATAAAGATGCATATATAGTGAACAAGTAGTATATCAAAGTCTTATCAGTAAACCGCAAGCCAGATTTGCTTCAACTCGTGTTCCAGGAATATGCTGATTTACCTGCAAGTAACGTAGTGGAACTTGTACCTCAAGACACCCGATAGCGCAAAATTTTGCTCCCGCTGATACTTCTACAGCAAACGGCTCTCGGGATCAGTTTTATACTCGTATAAGAAAAAAAAGTGAACCAAAACGTCACACTTGGGTCCGCGACCAATGCAACAACAAAACTTCTTTACACTCAAAAAACAAACTGGAAAAAATGCCACTCCAGTGCATGTGGTACGTCGTACAGTCAGTCAGTAACATAGTGACGTTTATTAGCGAGCCAGCCACATTTCAGAGCTTTCATAGTTTGTGCCAAAATGTTCGAATTACCGATCAGTGCAATGCCCTCTGCCGAGAGTGACTTATACTTACTTGGCTTTAGGATACTTCTTTTGATCGTCCAATCGATCAAGAGTGATGGTCAAGATATATGCGATAAAACCGCTAAACAAACGGTCCAACCCCAAATACACAACCGAGCGAGCTCGTCATTCCCAAATTTGCAACAAGAGAGAGAGACCAACACTCCTTCAGTCAGTCAGTCCTTCCTTCCTTCCTGTAGTCAGTCATTTAGTATGATGGAAGCAAAATTAGATGATTACGTGATTCAACAACGACTTGCACCGGCACTATTTGGTGATGTGCTTTTATGTATACATAAACCCACGGGTGACCTTGTAGCTGTGAAACGTGTGCTACAGAGTGCTGCACATGCCCAATTGACATTGGCTACGAACAAGAAAGTGCGTGAGAATGTTGCATTAGAACGTGCATTGTACCATCAGCTTAATCGTGTGGGTGGACATCGGAATGTGCTTAAACTACGTGATGAGCTGGAGTTTGATGGCTACTTGTACCTTGTATCGGACTATTGCACACGTGGAGAACTCTATGAGATAGTTAGCTCTGCTCCGGATGGAAAACTCGAGCTGTCGGTTATTCAAAAGTACATGCGTCAGATTGCTAGTGGCGTCCAGTTCTTACATGTAAATGGCTTTGCACATCGTGATTTATCACTGGAGAATGTGCTTGTATCAAATGACGACCAGTGTCAAGTATGTGACTTTGGACTCGCTACTTCTACGGCTAAACCGAGTCATGAGACTGTGGGTAAACTCTTTTATATGGCACCCGAGGTACTAGCAGGTGTTCAGTACGATGCTACCAAGGCTGATGTCTGGTCACTAGGTGTAATGCTGTTTATTATGTTGATTGGTGCACCGCCAGTCGAGACAGCATCATCATCAGATGCGAGATTTCGACTTATGACGAGTAAAGGTGTGAGGAAACTCATTGATCGATGGGGACTCACAGATGATCTTCCACCTGCTGCCATTGATCTCATTGCCAACATGCTTGAAATTGACCCGGAACAGCGCATCTCGATGAGCAAGGTTGTGTCCCACCCGTTTCTGCTAAGTTCCAGCTCTGTTGCCTCATCGCAGCGGATTGTGATGCCCAAGATTGAGCAAATTCGTATAACCTCACCAGTCAAGACTCCACAGCCTACCGCGTCTTACTCATCAGTACCGTCCACATCGTCAAGACGCCACGAGTCGGATGGTATCGAACGCAGTAGATGCCGTCTTTTGTTCCACAAAATCCATCGCTTTTTCTCACGCCGCCACAATAAACGTGTAATGGCGGTGAACCATGGCAGTGAACCATTGAAGGGAGCGCACGCCAAGCGTTTAGCACGTGCTGCTTGAAGGTGGCTAGGCCATCGTTTACGTAAGCTTGCCGAGCTCGTGACTGTTAGTAGCCGTCCTCGCTGCAACAGTCTGTCCGCTGATGCTGTCTATGTATACGGGGGGCCTCAAGACGCTTGACGTTGGGAGTAGCGTGTATTTATTTGGGTGCGTGCGTGCCCACAATTGCCATCCATTTGTAAGAGAAATAGAAAGTAGCGACAAGTAGTATAGAGAAGTGTAGCAATATAACCTAGAGAAGTAGACATTGTCTTTACCATTACATATTGTTTCTAATATCACTATTCCGACTTGAATCTGCGTACCTACACAAACAAAAGCCATCTAATGTGAACTTGCATTCTAGCCACATGCTTAAGATAGAGCAGCATTCTTTATACGCTATAACACCATAACAATTCACGAGATTTATTACTCAACTTTATACACTAGCCGGTGATTTAGTACATGTAGCTGGTATTCGCGTCGATAGATTTGTAACTCGAGGCTCAAACGCATGCATTTGCTGACTGTAGTAGCTAACTTGGGCTTCTTCATGCTCATTCAAGCGGCTTCGCGCTTTGCAGTAGCATGAACACACTGACACGACGCCAACGACAAAGACAAGCACGCTACAGCAAATTGTCAGGATAACCTGCCACGTTCCGTGAACTGTGTCGCTTCCTGTTCAACAAAACAACCGGCATCGTATTAGCTACTATCCTAGCATCAAAAGTCAGTATTTTGCACTTACCATTGCGACCCACGTGACTGCCTGTAGCATTACCAATGTCATCACTTGAAATAGAGCTGCTGCTGTCTATAGATGTTGGGTCTGAGGTGCTGTTTAAGTTTGTAGTATACGATGACGTTGCAGTCGATGATGATGAAGAAGAAGAGTACGCTGACGACGAATTTACATCTGTAAAGCATGCAACACACAAATCAGTTGTTTATAATACGACTAAAAGTAAACGTTCAATGCTCTCATGTTACCTGAAGTGAATGAAGGTTCTAAAGTGGCAGGCAACAGTGTGGGTGATGGTGACAAGGTCGGTGTGGGTGACGGTGGTAATGACGGCGTGGGTGACAGAGAAGGCGGGGGGTATCGAGGGAGTAGAGGAAGTGCTGGTAGATGGACTGGATAGGAAATCGCAGCTTCCACAGTCCGTGCCATAGGTGCATGTGCCATCAGAATTGATAGCAAAACCATAGACAGTACCTTGTGTCATAGTGTAGCATTGACCACAATTGCATTCTCCAATTCCTGTACGTGCTCCCGCATCCAAGCCACTACAAAAACAGCCAGGAATACCACCAGGCCCAAATCCCGTCAATTCTGTCGTGTAACAAATCTCCTCACATGCTACTGCTTCCACTGCAACAGACCACAACAGTTAGTTACCTCTCTGACACAAATAAATGGACACTAATGCTTTCTTACCATGACCGCACCATCGAGAAGTTACTACATTTGCAAGCACTATCGAATAAATGAGCCATAACCGCATCGTTTTTCTCATTCACTGAGCTATTTCCTATTGCAAACGTGTTGATAAAAACCGCTTTTAAGTGGGCAAAGATGTGAGACTCTTCCTTAACGGGGACAAGGCAATTCCTGAGACCATACGACATATGCGCAAACGTCGCTATAATTGACAAGCGACTTAAAATCGTATGGGGTAATCAATTTGGTAGACTCGCCTTATTTTATAGCATACGACTGTGACAAGTCAGTATGTCGCTAATCCATTGATGTGATTGGCTACTCGACGAATGAAATTCAACCCTCGCACTTAGTCAGTCAATCGACATAAACGTTCGTTTTTGTGTATTAATTCTTACAGGGAAAACCGCACTGCGATGATGTTCCAATATTTGAGCTGCAACGTTGTCAGTAATAACTGTTAAGTTCGGTTAATCTCCCATTGTGTGTGGCTCATTCATAACATAATACGTACGGTTCCGTTTTTCAAGAATGACCATAGGAAGGATTTACCAGCTGCAGGATATTCACGAGAATGAGAAGAGTCCTTTAAAGCTCAGGTATAGATGTTGAAGAACTACATGAGACCTTGCAAAAGGGTTTATTCTTGAATGTGTTTATCTCAAACCAGACAAGATGAAACGGCAGTGCCACCTTTGCCAAAAATCTCTCTGAACTTTACCTGTTGATGCAATGAGGTCCATTCGCATTCGCTCCTTTACTCATTGAGCATTCATGTCATTTTTCAAATTCCTACCTTCGACTCCAAGTTGAGTGATCGACCACATCTTTTCTATACAACCCTTTTAGCTTGCCATGAGACTTCTTTGTAGTTATATGGATGCAATGCTGACAGTCACCTTGTCACCACGTGAAACTTTATCTAGCAGTCCCACAATACCCAAGACGAACAAAACGTTCGAGTCTCTGCAATTGCAATCCACTCGTGAGACTGTAGTTACTGTACCAGTGGTCTCTACAACAATCACCCGGTCACCACCGCAACGGTTTTCCGACTTGAAAATCATAGAGACGTTAGCACCAGCCCTTTTTGGAGAAGTGTTATTGTGTCGTGACTCGAAAACCAATCGCCAACTTGCCGTCAAGCGCGTAGATCTTCGCTGTGCTCGAGCTCAAGTGACAATCGGCAAACCGATCCAAGTGGTCGAAAGCTTGCAACAAGAACGTGCTGTGCACCGTAAACTTGTAGCTGCACAAACCACCAATTTACTGCTGCTAGAGGAAGAGATACAATGTGGTGGCAATTTGTATCTCGTTTTTCCTTTCTGCTCGGGTGGTGACTTGTTTGATGTCGTACGTCAGAGTCCAACAGAAGGTCGACTATCTGAAGCAATTGCTCGTCGATTCCTTCGCGATATCGTTTGTGGCTTACTCTGTATGAAGGAGAATGGCTTGGCTCACCGCGACATTTCTCTGGAAAATGTGTTGTTGGATGCTAAAGGTGTTTGTTACCTATGTGACTTTGGTCTTGCAACTCATCATGGCAAACTCCTAGCTCCTGGACGAGTCGGCAAAGCTTGGTATATGGCTCCTGAAGTCTTTGCAGCAAAGGAGTCATACGATCCGTTGGCAGCCGACATTTGGTCTCTTGGTGTGATGTTTGCGATTATGTTGTCAGGAGCTCCACTTGTCGAAAAACCAACGTATGGTGACCGTCACTTTCGTGTCTTGAGTCAAGGTGGTGGTATTCGCAAGCTCCGATACATTTTTCCGTGCAAGCTTTCCAATGTAGCCTTGGATTTCATGGAAGAGTTACTAAACATTAATCCACATGAACGTCCGACACTTGAACAAGTAGCTAAACATTCATTTCTATCATCCAGATAGATGGAAAACGAAAACACACAAGACATACACAAGGACCATGTCTTGATCATAAGTGTAATGTCGTCTTACGAGTAACAATAGTCCTAGTATTTACGTGGTATTACAACTTAACAACATCGCGTATTTTCCTACATATCTCTTCTCTCTTCTTCCTATGTGTCTGTGCTTGTGTGTATGTGTGTGTTTTTTCTCTAGAGACTTGGTAGATTTTCTATTGCATGGTAAGGAAGAAAGCAAAGGCTAGAAATACCAAGGCCCGCCAACCAAAGAACACCGTTAGCAATGCTGCAATTACCAAATGAATCTTTGGAATTGATCGTGCAGGGAATAGGCCTAGCATTGCTGGAATTGTCACTGACCCTTCTAATCCCATTTGACGTGCTAAACCTTGCAATGGTGACGCTCCAGCAGCGTCTGGTGGCACAACTGTAGCTGTACGTAAAGTCTCTCCTGCTCTGTTATTATATACTGATCCAAAGCGTCGTTGAGGCTGCTGAATCGGTGGTCGAAGTGCACGCACTCTCGGGTCGTTGTCGGGCACGATTTCTCCATTAATTATATGCACCATAGTTTTAATGCCTTACGGGAGTGCTCCGAGGATAATTATACGATGAAAGATATTATCCATGAAAAAAACAACAACTTAGAGATAGTAAAGAAACAGATTATAGCTCATGTTACGATAATAATAATTTTTGCGACTGGATATTTTTTTTAGATAAGTCGATCATGAACTTGTTATACGTGATAATGTTGCGTACAATAGTAGCTAACTATAGCCATAGATACAATCGATAACTTAACTTGCTGCTTTAAGACGCCTAATAAACTCTGGAATACTCTCTAGCTTTTGTTTAACAGCTGAGGGTAAGAAGGATGACATCTTGTCACTTGTCAGTAGTTCATACACATCTTCTTTAACATTCTTGTCATCATTGGAAGAATTCTTTGACCCCCATGATGGACGAAATCGTAATTGCAATCCACTTGCTGCTAGAGTGAGCTGAGCACCATCCAAGTAGACAACTTTCAAGTCTCCACTTGCATCAATGTACCCGTGACCAATACCAGCAATAACAACCTCTCTCTGCGGTTCATGAGACATTCTCTTGTTCAAACATGCTCCTCCACCTCCAGCACTTTGATCGAGAAACGAAGATCGATAGCGAAATGAAGCCAATAACGTCTCTGGAAATCTGTCATAATGCACAAGCGGGAGCTTTCTCACTTCACCTCGTAGTGCAATTCGGCGCAATTGCATAGTGCGTAATGCAAGACATTGGCAAAACCGAACCAATGGTGGCAAGAACGGACGCTGGGTAAAGCGTGAAGATGGTATCCCAGGTGAACTCGAGGCCACATTGAAATCAGTTCGTGCTCTACTGACTCCTGGAATCTCATAGCGTAATGGATCACCTTCTTTTGTCATGGCTGTGAGCACCCCAGTAGCTAATTCATAACATCCTTCCCACCCGTTCGATACCTTCAAGTTGAATGTCGGTGGTCTACCAACTTCAGCTGGTTCCTTACAGCTCCACTGCAACTGCATCTTCGTGTCATCCAAAGTGCCAACGCTCGCTTGAGAGATCTCGGACCACGTCCGGTTTTGCAATTCCAAATGCATTATGACCGATACGAATGGTCCAGAATTCCTCGAAACATCAAGCTGTGATTCCTCAATTTGGTCAAATGACTCGTTTTCTTCCTTTCGCTCGTCAGAGCCATCGCACGTTGGTAATGATCGCTCGGAAAGCTCGCTGAAGTCGTCATTGAGGTTCATGCTATTGTCATCGGAACTAGAACAGTAGTCACTGCTGGTGTTCCCATGACCAGACAGCATTGACCGAAATTGAGAAGATCGTATTCCATTTGCAGGAGCTTCGAGCAGCACATGCCGCTTCAAGCCAGCATTACTCTCACCGATCGTACGTCGCGTTCCAAACTTAAGCGGAGCTGATGAGGTAAAAGATGACAAATCCTCCCCTCTCATCGGCCGCAACATTGCAGCCCTGCGGGTTTCGCGCAAGCTTTTAGGAGATCGAGATAAAGCACGCGGATGTGGAGGTATCCGTGCAAGTGACTTGCGTCTACCGCCGGATGATGATAGTGGTGGTCCATGCTTCTGAGATTGCTCACGGAGCCAAGGATGTAGCAGAATTTGCTCGGCACGTGGACGACTACGTGGATTCTTCATGGACACAGATAATCATCACAAACAAGAGTAAGCACGAGTCAATCATCACGTTTCTCGAACGTGTATCAAACACCATACTGGACAAAGTAGCCGTTTGATCAAGTCGCTTGCAGACGAAGAAAACCCGGCTGGGAACTTCAGCGGCTTTTGTCCTGCATTTGCCACATTCTCCAATGTTTCGCTACGTAACACAATCGCAACAACAACAACAAATCCCATCACGTTGCTCCACATGCTCCATTGTCACTATTATCCCTCTCATCTTCTCACCTGACTTTACGACCTTCAAACGGTGCTTTCCCAAGCAGCAAACAGTATAAAATACATCCAAGGGACCATATATCCACTGCTTCATCGTAAGGTTTGTCCTCTGCTGTCAAGATTTCCGGTGCAATAAAATTAGGCGTTCCACACATTGTCACATGGTCCTCTCTACCTCACAACAAACACAACACAACACAACCACACATTGTCACCATTTGTCAGCAAAACTCTCCTCCTCCTCATCTTCTTCCTTTTCTCATCATCAACTACCAAACAACCAAAACCTGACCCAAGTCGTGCTGCTAGTCCAAAATCTGAAATTTTCACCTCGCCATGCTCCGTAACCAATAGATTTGCAAGCTTCAGATCTCGATGGATCACACCATTTCCATGTAAATAGACAACACCCGCAACAACTTGACGAAATATCTTCTTTGCCATGTGTTCATCCATTTTACACTGTGGTAATGTCTTGATTATTGTAGAAAGCGATCGATTCGCACAGTATTCAAGCACCATATAGTAATTTCGAGCATCTTGAAACACCGTCTCGACATAAAGAACATGAGGATGTTGTAATTCAGTATGAAGCACGAGTTCTTGCTGGATTTTACGCTCTAATTGAGCTCGTTGAATCAGTAATTTATCAATTACTTTAATCGCCACTTGCGTTCCGGATCGTTCGTGAGTTGCTAAATAGACTTGAGCTGTTGCACCTTCACCTAGAAATTCCAGTAGTGTATAGTCCTATGAAGAGAGAGAGGCAATGGAAATGGACATGTATCATACAGTTAGCGAGCAATGGGAAGAAAGTGGATATTATTGTTCATCAAAGGCATACAGAGATGGAATGTGGAGGGCTTGTCATGTTAAACAGCGAACGTTATTCGTAGTGCTTTTATCCTTTTTTAAGTGTTATTACATACAGAATTAGAACAAAATAAGGTGGATACTTGAAGGATAGGATTTAACGTTAGTTTTTTTTGATGATAAGTTCGTTTTTTTTCGGTCGAGTAAGAGAGCGACTCTATTAGAGATCAATAGGGATCAAATAGGGTTAAGCTTGCCAGAATAGAGTATTCATTAGGTTTATGATGGTCATCGTATGCATCAAGTGTTACAAATCAATATGCTAACGCTTACAACCGAAGTAGAAACTATTGAATAGTATTGCTATAGGATTCAAAGAGTACGTTATCATGAATGTTAACAAAGGTTATCACTACCATTTCTTTCTAGTCATGAATGCATTCTTCATTCATTCACTCATTCAATTCAATTCAATTCGTTAAAGTCTGTCACGGTCACGGTCTCAAGACTTTGAATGAACATTGGAACCAATAGACAACTACATCTCGTGACCACGTCCTTACGAAGTACATGAGTTCGACACTGAGGTAGTCAGTTAAGAACCTGTCAACCACCTCATAAAACGATTCCAGACTCCATTATCCTTGAAGGTCTCGACAGTGACGGTATTACTTGATCCTTCCGTGTTGCTCGTAATGATAGAACCTGTTGTTCCTACACGAGGAGCTACTCCTGATGTAACGACCTTACGCTGCTCCGTATTTGCTCGATGATTAATTATCTTGACCAAACCTGTACCTTCATGCGTCTTGGCATCTTTTTCGAAAAAAAGCTTGAATAGCCATGGCCGTACCGGCTGGGTTTGATGATCTAATGATAAGCGAATGTTCTCGAAGACGACCGTCACAACTTGTAACAAACGTGACGAGGAATAGTACTAGGACTTGGATTAGGTTCATTTTGCTGGAATGTCTCGAGAGAAATGAGTCACACACACAAATGTAGAGTAGAGACAGTGGTGGTGGTGAAGGTGGTGGCAAATTGATGAATGACAAAAGAATGAGCGGTTCAAAGGGTACGGGACATACAGAGAGAGACAAGTTTGAGTCAGTTGTGCAGAAACAACACGTAACCAGATCTCAGCTGTTGCGATCTGACTTGAATGGAGCAGTAGCACGAGAGCCTAGAACCACTTGACAGACATTGATTCAATGAGTAGCATTCTTTCAACTGTTTAAAGCTGGATGTTGTGGTTTTATCTTTGCTTTGTTTGTCGGATTAGTGTCAGAGGTATGACGATCGAATACATGCAAGGGTTTGTTTAGAACCTGTATTGTGACGTACATGGAAGTAGGGGCTACCACAACAATGCAGCTGCGTGCACTGACTTGGGTTTCTATCTGAGGATGTCCAGTGCGTACAAGTCCTTTCTGGCTTGGGTGATATGAGCGCAGAGAGATAAGAGATGATGATAGCACAGACAACGTATGTTATGAGACAGAGAATCGATATAAGTAGCACAGGATAAACCAGCTTGGCCGCATGTCGACAAAGACTAATGAACGTGAGTTAGTAATCTCCCCCACTGCTGAGCAATGTCACAAGGCACATCACTATTCACTTTTGTCACCTCTAAAGTTAGCGCATTGCTACCTAGATTCTTAGAATAACAACTACCATTTGAAAGCGACAAACGATTTGCTAGCCTCAGCATGCTTTTATTCCTGTTTGTTTGCGTCTTCGTCAGGCTCATTTGTCGAGATCTCCCCACTGGAGTTAGCGTAGCTCAGCTGTGCATACATTTCTTCTTCGGAGACACCAACAGTACTAGCAGCAGCAGTTTGATTTCCATCAGCAGCAAACTGCGTATCTGTATCAGGATACGACGCGATCGTGTCACCTTCTATACGCTGACGCTTACTTGCTGGCATCTGATACTGTTCAGGGTAATCAAATGCCGCATCTTCTGTCATCGTAGCACCCTTAGCCTGCATCATAGCAATAATCGCATCTTTATCTGCACGTTCGCCTGCTTGTTTCGCCACGGGATTGGGATCATCAAAAGCCCAGCGCAAATTGAGCACTTCATCACTTTGCAGTGACTGGTTCGCCATCGCTTCCTTGGCAAATTCCGCACTCGTTCGATGACGATAACGCACAAAGCAAATTGATTTGCGATGGATGACATTGATATTCTCTACTTCGCCCCACTCTCCAAACTGCTTCGCAAGCTCCTTTTCTTGTAGCTTCAGCGCTTCCCTTCCATTCGTTGTCTTCAGTCCACCCACATAAAGAGTGCGGGAGTTGCGTGTAAAGTTACCTACACCATCCATATCATCTCGATCCGTCGCATGGCGTTCCCGTCCGAAGCAGTCGTGCATCATGCCGATCCTTGTCTCATCGGCTGCAGACGGCAATCGGTGATAGTAATTGCACTCTGATCCTCTAGCACACATACCACGTGCAAAATGCACGCAAAAATACCTGTTGGCTTTGCTCACCATATCTGCCTTAGTCTTGCCTGCATCTAGTTCCAAAACGCAGCGTGTAGCTGTCGGTTCTTTGCCCCGTGAATCGTTCCAGTGATCGCCCACGTACTTATCATACCAAATATTGTACTCATACGCTCCTTCAAGATGTGAATTGGATGTAGGCATCACGTCCATTTGTTTCCGGGCAGGTCTCGATAGGAATAAAGCGTTCAACTTCTCATACCGGTCACCTTCATCCACACCGGCTTTGCCACGACCAAACCAACCTGTGGCGTGTGGTGCTGCTCCCATCTCAGCTGGACGCTCCCATTGTGTCTGATTTGTCATCATATTATAATAGTAAATCTTATTCGACGCAGGATCAAGCGCCTCGCGCCACGTATGCTGATCACCTTTGCTATCTACGACCAAAGCGTCTGGTCGCTCTATTTTGGGTGCACGACAGCGAAAACAGCGCTTACGACGCGCATAATTCTCATGGTTACAATCACCGCATACCCAGTTCTTTTCATATACAGCGTAAGCAGCGCCAACGTCACCTAATGTCCCAACAGCCGTTAGTTCTTGTGGTAGCTCTTCACTCCTTGTACTCATAATTCAAAGTGATAAGAATATGTCAAGGTTTTGTGTGGTACACAACAATCTGATGTATCACTTGGTTGAAAAACATCATATAAAAAAGTAGTCCTTAGGCTGCTGAAGTAAAGACTATATACCGCGTGTTTACACTCTTATTAAACACCAAACGTGATCAAATTATATCAAATGACACGACGAAAGGCTTCGTTACATTCCTTCCCTGATCTCTTCTTCTTCCTTCCTCCTTCTTCCTTCTTCTCCTCTGCTAATACACCGTCACGCCCTTTTATTTGCACACAAAAGCGACAACGATCGGTAATAGTTTCTACAAGAATTGTGCCATCCAGCGAAAGCCGTCCGCATAGCCCATCCGACGAACCACAGAACACATGTACAGTTCAATAGGGCGAATGCTGGTATCTTTGTCACCACGAGCTTCCTTGCCGTACGTCTCGTACAGACCTAGTGCACTGCGTAGTTCCTCCTCAGATGCAGCACGTGGCACATCAATCTTGTTACCCAGTACCAAGAACGGTACATTAGCTAGCTCGTCATAGCCCAGTAGCGTGTCCAGTTCACGCTTCGACTCCGGAAAGCGTTCACGGTCCAGTGCATCCACAACAAACACCACACCATCCACCGTTGCAAAGTAGTCTCGCCATAGTCGACGTGCTGTTTCATGTCCGCCCAAGTCAAACGTACGCAAACGTAATTTGCCAATAATCAGTTCTTCCGAATCTACACAAAGCCATTAGCATCCATGAATCATTAGTGTCAATGCTATCATGAACGATACAATACATTCTCGATTACAAACATACTCGGATGGAGTGTGGGTTCATGCACTGCAACACGATCATCCTTTAGCATATGCAAAAGAGTAGTCTTGCCAGCATTATCCAGACCTAGAAACAAGATCTTGGCATTCTTGTGGTACAGTCCTAGATAGATAGAGGACATTACATACAATCAACCAAACGAAATACAATTTAGAGTCAAGTAGAATCATAGAAGGATCCACATGTAGTCCATAAGTAACAACTATAGATGGATTTGAATATGTAAACATTCTCAATATCCACCATACCCAAGTAGCCTAATACATTGTAAAACCAATCAAATACAAACATATTGATAGGACACAATCAGACTTTCAAATCAATCGCTCTTTATTCAAGTCGTTTTCGAGTCAGAAGCTTTCGTTTGTTCTTCTTTCGATGACTGCAAACCGTAAAGTGAACAAATCGCATACATTTGGAGGGTCGCCATTCAATCATTGGTGGAAACTATAGCCACGAAACAAACGATCATTCGTCAAAATTACACATTGACATTTTTATATCGACCAATGAACGCGCCGTTGTGGTCTCAGATGATCTGAGGAAGACCATCATCTGAGACCTTTATTCATCTGAAAAGATGCGACGACGTGGTGTTGGTATTGGTGCTGTGCGTAAGAAACAGGAACAAAATAAGCAGTTTACAGAGGTCGGAGAACAGATTGTAGAGGCTAATTTATCCCATGTATCCTCGCAGCTTGAGCTCTTTCGCACCAACTTGCAGGAATTTGCAGTCAAGTACAAGAATAACATTAAGAAGGACCCAAACTTTCGACGGAGTTTTCAGGTCATGTGCGCTAAGATTGGTGTTGATCCATTGGCATCAAAGAAGGGATTTTGGTCGGAATTATTAGATGTGGGAGATTTCTATTATGAACTCGCAGTGCAGATTATTGAAGTGGGTATTATGACACGACCAAAGAATGGTGGACTCATTGGTATGAATGGACTTGCTACGATTGTTGGAAAAGAAGCGAGGACCAGCAATGCAAATTGTCACGGATGATGATGTCAAGAGAGCAGTGAAGAATCTTAGTGTATTGGGCGAGGGTTTTCAGCTTCTTGATATGGAAGAGAGGACAATGGTTGGTTTGCTACTACTGTTATTGTTGCTGTCATTGTGGTGTTGGAGCAAACGATTGAGTCTAAGATTGATTTGATTGCGGTGGGTTTTGTGTGCAGATTGTGACGGTACCTTTTGTCTTGAGCGAAGATTACTCCATCATCTTGGCCTTAGCGCAAACGACGGGAGGAATGGTGAATGCCAGTATCTTGGCGCGAGAATTGCAGTGGGACAAAAAGCGGAGTATGTTGGCACTGAATGTGCTGCTCCGTGAAGGCATGACGTGGCTAGATGAACAGGTATAGATGATAGTGGAGATTTTTGAGTCGACGTCGTCGGTTGTCTGATGTTTGTGTTTGACGTGTCGTATGGTGCTTTGTAGACTAGCGAGCCTTCGTACTTTTTCCCAAGTATCACATTGTCGGGTACTTACACCTAGGCAACATTTAGAAACCTGTATTCGATTCTTTGCATGCAGGAAAATGAAGCTGAGATGTTTGAAATGCAGTGGTGATTATCATGTCGGTGTTGTTGCGAAGCGTGATCTGATCCTCGTACTTTAGAGAGACTATGCTTTGTGCGTTCATTCTTCTTTATCGATGGGAAAGTCACGCTTTGTGTGTGAGTACTGTAACAAGTCTTTCAAAGACTCGCACGAGGCACGGCAACGACACAACCGTGGACGGAACCATAAGGCTAACGTTAAGCTCTGGTACGACAGCTTTGCAGGTACGCAGATGCATTTTCTTACTCATCATCGGACGCTCTTATTCATCTATTTCTTTCCCTGTATATAAGATCATGAAAGACATGCGTCTGCTGCTACATCAGTAAGTTCTGGTCACACATTACGCGCATGGACACCAGTGAATCCCCCATCAGCAGAACTCGACCAAAGAGCGATACTTGACATGCAAAATCTGCCGCCGTCGATGCACCCTGCTCCACCTGGTGCCTTTTACTACTGTCAAGCCGATTGGGGCTAAGGTGATGATAGATAAACTGATAACAGTAAGGTCGCGAGACAATGCGCCTTATCGTCACAGGTACAAGCCACAATCTGCCATTGTCGACAGCGAAACAACACACAGCAAGCCCAAAACCACTGACATACTAAAACCAGTTGCGATGTTCCTTTTAAAGACAACAGTTCATTCTTGCATTGCTACAAGTCTCCGTCCTATCCACCCTGAATCCACGGGTGCTGTGCGATCTGCTCTACAGTTAGGCGTCGCGACGGGTCGTCCACGATAAGCATTTTCGACATTAGATCACGCACGCTCGCAGAAACACTGTCCATGCCCCACGAGTCTAACATGTCACCCATGAGGCCCTGCGCAATCATCTGAAACCGCGGGTCTGCGTCGTCTGGCCGCTCGAATGGTGGGGCGCCCGTTACCATGATAAAAAGCATGACGCCCGTTGACCAAATATCCGCTGAGAATCCGTTGAAAGGAACCTGGTTACGGTAAATCTGAGGAAACAGACAAAACCGTACATGGTGAGAAAACTAGTCGAACTAGCATGCGGCGATGCTACAAAGTACCTCGGGAGGCATGTAAAAGATTTTGCCAACAGCACCAGCAGGCGGCAGTGAATATGTCATGCCATGTGAATCGACGGGAATGCCAATGGTCAGGCCAAAGTCGATAATCTACAGCAAGTAAAAACAATCCACACACGTTTGCCTGTGTCTCACTTATTTCACGAGCATGCATGAAGCTTGCTTACCTTCGAAGTATCACCATCTAGCAGCACGTTTTCTAAGGACATGTCACGATGGCAAATGTAGCGACTTTGCAAGTAAGACAGACCTGCCAGAACTTGGGTAAACCAGTGGCGACATTCAGATTCTTTCATGGCACCACCACTCTCCACCACGGAAAACAATTCACCACCATTACAAAATGGAAGTACGGCATAGATGAAGTCCGCGTCGTGCAAACACTCAAGCTGTGAATGACAGCATCAAAAAGATGACCACAAATCAATAATCCCTCCAGTATTAACATCTTTGCAGTTTCATGCTTTCCTTACCAGTGTAAGCACATTTTCGTGGCCAGGTATCGACAGATACTGCTGAGCCGCAAGCTCGACAAGCGGATTTTCTTGTAGATTTCCCTCCTCTATAATAACCTGTAGCAAAAAAATACGTCATACGATTTACAAACATCGTCAAAATGACCCTACGCATCTTGTGCAAGTTCAGCAAGCAGCAAACGCACCTTGCTCATGACCTTAATGGCCACCTCGAGCTGCGTGCGCACAAAAGTGCCATTTGGCGTCATCTGAAGCCGCACAGCGTGCTTAACTTTTCCGTAAATGCACTTTCGCAACGTTCGCACAAACTCATACACTGCTCCAGATCCAGAAAAGATAGCAAGCACCATGCCAACATCTTCCACGGGGCAGCGTCGGAGCTCCGCGTTCATAAAGCGTACTTCTTGCGGAATAGGTGAGCTCAGTCCATTGTGATCATACTCTTCAGTGCCTGTGCGAAAAACGTCATCCGATGGGTTAATGCCCAGTGCCTGTAGCTGTTGCTGAAGTTCAGCAGAGACTTCTTCCATCGTTTCCCCTTCACTTGCTTCTTCACTCACTGGGACACTTGCTGATTCACTCGTGCTCTGGTGACTCGTTTTTTCAATCACAAACTTGAGTTCAAGTTCACTTTTAGACCGTTCGGTAAAGCCACTAGACGTCGGTGCAGGTGATAGCTCACTAGCTAGCTCCCTGGACGGATGTGCTCGTGCGGGTTCAGTAGCTGCTCGGTCTCTCCTATCTCTTGACGAACCTACAAGTGCGCCCGCCCACGATCGAAATCGGTCCAATGCACGCGCGCGGGGAGGACGCTGGCTACCGGTCTTCAAGTCTTGCGCTCTTGCCGTTGCTTTCGAGTCGTCAGTCGATCGATCGCACGTGTTAGTGACGAGCGAGCGATCGAGCGAACAAACGAACGAGATAGCGAGATACCGGTCAATACCTGAGATTCAAACAGAGTGATGATACTCTAAATGTATCAGATAAGACACTTTATTCCACACAGACACAATAGCTCTGTCTTTCTCTCTCTCTCTCATCTATATCACTGTTTTCTAAACAAAAAGACAAGAGACAGACGGGGGAGAAGGGATGAATCATCATTACAATTCCAAGATTAATATAAAGAACTGTATAGAGAACTTACAAGTAGAAAAGATGAAGGTGAATGGAATAAAGACACAAAGAAGAAGAAGAAGAGACAGAGTAATGAGGAGGAATTGCTAATCCAAAGACGTTTGTAAGTAAAAGAACGTCAATGGAAGGAAGGCCGAAAAGGATGAAATGCGCGACGTTCTTTGGGTGACGGAGCAAATTAGAACCGGCGTTCGATTATTCCTTAGTAGAGGGTAAGTACTTTGATTACCCTCTCTCTATACCTGAATTGCTTTTTTTAAATACCGGTATAGCAGTTCTATAATTAAAAATAATAATAATAATAATCCGAAATAATGTTCTTAACATAGCTCATAATAATAACTTGGATTGACATGTAATTAATTGTTTTATTCACTCTTGCGTCTTTGGGTTTTATTATTAATTTTTTAATGTCGTCTGAAAGTACGACCAGATAAAATACGTTGACAGACAGGAGTCTTCCATTCGTGCGCTGAACTTCATCAAAAGATGCAAATCGAACAAGCAAAGTAAAGAATCAATTTATAAATATCGAATATCTCACGTGACTTTTTGCGTCTGTTTGGAATCATTAGTAGCTTTGGTGTCCGAAACCTTGAAGTTTTTGGAGTCGCACCATTGGATTCGTTGCTCGTCAAGCTTATGTACTGCAGCACCTTTTCATCGATCGTGGATACATGTAGTGCCTGCTTGCTTCTACACGCTCTAAAAGCTTTGACAATAAAGAGTTGTGGAGGTAGCTGCACTACTAACTGGATGCCTTGCCCAAGCTTTTACTTTAAATTGAAGAGCAAAAAGTCACAAGTGAAGATCGATAACAATATGGTGCTGTTACTGATCGAACGTCTGCGGCTCACTTGTACGTTACTGGGTCAGATAGCACTGTATATCAACTGCTAGAACAAATTAATATGTTGCAGCACCTTATGCAATTAATGCATATTGCATCTCTGCTTTAGGCTTTACTTTTATTTGTATATTCGCTACTGTCAGTTAGACATGCGCATGACATCCCTCCCGTTCAGAAGCTTGCATTTTGTACATTTTTTGTGTCCACGCGAGATTTGTGTGTCGCAGAATTGTATCCTTGAGGTTATAAACGACGACACAGCACAATCTTTATCGAATCAGAGCAGTCTAAATGCTCGATCGACACGTTGTGATGGACTAAACGGTTGCAATATATATCTGAGACGAAATTCGATATCAATTGACTGCTAATATTTCAGTACATTAGAAATTTTTAACTGACCAACCTACCGTTAATCTTAAATTTCAACCAATAAGCTATTTCGTTTTCCTGTAAATTGTAGCTACACATCTACAGTTCACTATTTACTTTGTCAGTCAAGGCATTTTCGTCTCTTCCTCAATGGCGGTACTTCACTTGTACTCTGTATTAAACCTGCTATGGATATTATGCAATAGTACATGCATCAATTTCCTACAATTTTGTCTCTGGTGTCTTGTCCGTCCATTTAATAAGGTGCTTTACCGTCAGCTTATGGGGTAAGACTTTTGTTTTCTCCTCAGTGCGGAATTGACCATCACTCTGTTTTTTTTGTTATTTAACATATCACCATCACTCTTGATCTGTAGCTCGGTGGCTCAAGCACTTTGGATTGAAGTCACATCCACGAGCTTCCCACCGACCAAGCTCTCGGTGACAGGGGAGCTACCATCGGACCTTACGAAGCCTACTATTATCATTTCGAACCACCAGGTAGACGCCGATTGGTGGTATATTTGGCAGGCTGCACGCCATCAAAAGGCAGCGGGAAACATTAAGATTGTGCTAAAGGACCAGCTCAAGTATCTGCCCATCATCGGCTGGGGCATGCGTCTCTTCCAGTTTCTCTTCCTACGACGTCGTATTGATCAGGATCAAGAGCATATTGAACGATACATGCATGGACTCATTACTGATGGTGTTCCATTTTGGCTCGTGTTATTTCCCGAAGGAACGACTATCCACAGTGAATACGTGACAAAATCACAGGCTTTTGCAATGCGAGAAGGTCGTCCCAAGTTTGAAAGGGTCTTACTGCCACGTACGACGGGGTTACAGATTATTTTGGATGCTGTGGCTGATGTGAAGCCGGATATCTACGACCTTACACTGGCATTCCCATCGTATTCGGGTGAAGTGCCAACGTTTGACATGGGCTACGGACGTAAAATTGATACAGAAGTACCATCAATGAAGTCGTTGGTGGCGGGAAAACAACCTGCAGGAAGTGTGGCAATACATTCACGGAAATTTAGCTATGAAGATGCGACGGTGGATTTGCAGGAATTTCTAGATGCACGCTGGAAGGAAAAAGAAGAACGACTGAACTACTTTATTGAACACCATCGTTTTCCTGGTGAAGAGAAGACAGTGGAGATAGAGCTACCGGTAATGTTTTTGTGTTGAGGTCTTGTATGTGTGTTTGCAACATGTTAATGGTTTGCGTTGTGTTTTATTTTTGCTTGATCAGAGGTCAATTGGTGCGGTATTTCGACTATGGTTGGGCATTATTTCTTCGTGCATTATGCTACCTGTTGTTATGATGCTCTTCTTTCCACGTACGTCCTCTGTACTTTGTTGTTATGCTTGAACATTTGTTGTGGGTTGCTAACTACTGCAACACTGTGTTGGGTTGTGATATCTTTACTTAGTGTACTTTATCTGGGTCGTTTATTGCTTCGTGTACTCGGTCTACGACCGCACTACAAACTTCTGGTGGCCATACATTTTCAATTTACTTGTCGAGCGCGCCGCAAAGACACACGGCCATTTCAAGCGACAACAAGCCAAGTATCTGTGAGGGTAGCCAAGAAAAACTCAAGTGTCCATTTCCTGGACATAGGACTGGACATCGAAACGAATGTCAGCTTTGTCAGTGTTTTGGCTATTTGTGGGCTATGTATCGCTTGAAGCTACTATCCTATCCTTCCTCCACCAATTGTAAGAATGACATGTCGCTCCCATTTAATCAAATCCATTCGCGTTAGATATTACGTCGACCATTTTTGAAGAAATTGATTTCATTCTTTGGTTTGTATGGCTAATGAATGAAGGCTGTGAAAACTTAGCATCAGATGAATTGTCTCATTACTTGACCATTAATTAATCTACCCAGTCAATTAATTCAACTTTACGCCTCAATTGCCATTCACTTGAATAAAGTATGCATTTGACTAAAGACGACCAAAAGCTTTCACATCGACTAGGTCTTCCTCTAAAGCAAATGCTAATATGGAGTCATACTATCGTGTATCTATCATTGCTCTTGATCCTTCTCTTGTGCTTGCCATGTGCTCATGCTGCAGTAGTAAATACACCTCGAATGTCCAATCTCTCAGCGTCTCCAGCGCCGACAATCTCGTCCGATTTGTCCTCGACATCACCATCTGCTACTCTCTTAATAAACAAGACACACCCTGTGTCTTCTAACGCGAGTCTGCACGTTTCAAGTCCGTTCTCAAGCCATACTGGATCTCAAGATGTTATTCCAGCAGTGGTAATAGCTACGGACATCTCAATTGATCACGTCGAGGAGCATTTACAAATTGTCCAGCAGCTGGAGTTTTCAGTTGGTAAAAGTATACAAGAAATGGAGGCAGGTGATCAGCTTGCCATGTATAGTCGCGACCAAATCCAAGAGAGACAGCATGTACGTGATGCTTTACTAGTGGTGCAGAACAAGCTCAAGAGATTGGCTTTTGGTCTCAATGGAACGTTACTAGAGCTTGAACATGTCGAGCACGAGGAAGTATTGCAATCTGAAAAGCTGAAGGATGTCTTGGCACTTCAGGAAGAAGAAGAGCGAGAGCAAAAACTTGCAAAGGATGGAATCAAAGAAATGGACTATGAGACTGGACACTTGAAAAACACGGCAGGATTAAATGCTGAACAGCTCAAGAAGTTAGAACTCGTGGAAAAGAAAGCAGATCCGGCCGTATTGCACTATGATATGGAACTATTGGCACAGATTGCAGTGTTGTTGGGTGTATCAGCAATTGGAGGAATTATTGCCACGTACTTTCACATTCCTCCACATGCTGGATATTTGCTGGGTGGAGCGCTAGTAGGACCGTCGTGTTTGGGAGTTGTGAGACTGTACAAGGAAGTGGAGACAATCTCGCTCTTTGGATCAGTGTTCTTGCTATTTGGACACGGAGCGGCGTACACACCGCAACAGCCTGAGGATATTATTCGAAAGCATTTTCTGGGAGGTGTGACGTATATCATGTCCACAGTGCTACTAGTTGCTTGTGTGGCAGTTTACATTGCATGGACGACTTCGTTTGTCGAAGGATTGATCATAGGTCTTGGTGTCTGCTTTTCGAACACCGCTCCTCTGTATGAACACATTCGAGAAAATAGAATTCAAGACTCATCTTATGGTCGGGTACGTGAAGCTAATAAGGGGAATGCTACCGCTCTGTTGACTGACTAACGAGGTTCATGTTTCGTATCATAGACAGTGACGTCAATTATTGCAATTCAAGATTTGCTAATGAGCTTTGCTTTAGGCACGCCAGAATGGTTTTCTGTGCGTTCCGTCCGTTGGATTGGTGTCGCCATGATACGGACTGTCGTAGCCTACTTTGTGGTTGTAAGCATGACGGCTTGCTTACATCAATATGTTGTCCCAAAGTTATTGCGATTTTTAGCAGCTATGGAAGAGGTTCACAACGCACCGTTGGTCCTTCTTGGAGTAGTGTCTGTGTGCCTATTCATGGCACTCTTCTCAGAAATGATCGGGCTTTCGCTCGAGTGTGGTGCTTTTCTGGCTGGACTGGCTTTTGTGCACGTATCAAGCAACGCGAAGGGGGGCCTTCATGTCCATTCGTGTGATGGAAAATTTGTTTGGCAGTATGTTCTTTGCTTGTGTCGGTATGATTTTGCATCCAATGTTTCTAATTCGGAACGCTGGTGAGATCCTAACCATGGTGTTGCTAATTGTGGGTATCAAGACGGCGTCCATGACTGGTGTAATGACTTTTTTTCGTATCAGTCCGCGGAAAGCACTCATGGCTGCTGTCGGTCTATGCCAAATCGGCGAACTTGCCCTCATTTTCATGATCAAGGCTCACGCTTCTCAGCTCGTCTCCCGACGGACCTATCTGTTGTTCGTGGCTGCTATCTCCGTCTTTCTCGCTTTCTCATCCGTCCTCAACCGTAGAGTTGCACTCGCTCGTCGGAAATCCATTTACCATATGCCTTTGACAGCTCAAGGTAAGCTGACGGAAACGCATCAAAGTTCAAGTAACATTATTGACCTTTGCGTTGCCTCACGACAACGAGGAGGATCCAGCAGCAGCGCTCACGTGGATGGAAGAGAGGACGAAACTTCGTTGTCGTCAAGGACGCAGTGTCATTTCCTGAGACCTTTTGGTCATTAATGGTGTTTTACCTTGGCTAGTCAATCTGCGTACATGGTCTACTTTGAGCTTTCAGGTTAGCACTGTTGCTGAGGTAAACAATGCTTCCATTAGGTCGTTACGCTACATATTGGACTGATAATTAAAAACTTTCTCATTCGTCCTGGTTGTTGTTCAGCATCGCCACCTTCGCGTTCTTCGCCACAGTCTCCAGATTGTTATCTTCAAGTTCTGGCCAACTTGTATCCCCATGCCGAAGCTTCGACTCTACATCAGGTGGCGTCATGGCAACAAAAGTATCTCCTATACTGTCAGACAGCTGTTGCGCTGCCTGTGGTGGTGATGGTGGGGTTTGATGCTGCAGTGGCAGCGTAGCTTGTTGAAGTAAATACGTGAAACCATCTCGAGCGCCTTCGTTCGGAAACTCAAGGTGAAGCTCACGGAATCGAGTACAAACTGATAGGACGCAAGCTGGGTCTACCGCACGCTTGGAAGAATTTGGCAAGTTCATAGCGTGGCCTGCGAAAAACGGTGCGTCGTCGCCGCGAAGCATCTCGCGAATATCATGCAGTTTAACTGAATCGTCCAAGCGATCTGGTGATCCAGTTGAAGTTCGGGGCTCATTCTGCATCAAACTAGGTATCTAGCATCTTTGCCGTAGGAGGAGTTATTGGCGATGACGGGGTGCTTCCGGTCTGTCTTGTGTCAAAATTGAGCGTGAATCCACCACTGGCAGTACGTTCAGTCTTCGCACCACGCTCTCGACGTAGCGAATGCCACCACAAACGCTTCTCGTTGATAACGTCGGAAGTGCTGCCGGACGGACTGTTATTAGAATCAGGAGATGCACCGGAAGTAGCGCGAGCACTTTGCCCCGATGCATTGCGCTTGATAGTAGCCGCAGCAGCAACATCGTCAGCTGGGATTGGGCTGATTTGAGGTTGACCAGCCTGCAGGTCAGGCTGACTGGTTCCGTTGCCGTCCTTCACACCGGCGCCAAACAAACTCGTAAAGTTTCGCGCATTCTGGTACCGTAGCAAGCTCCGTTTAAGCAGCTTCGGCTGCCAGCTGAGGACTTTGCCATCGGCCGACAAGCGAAGTTTTGTACGATGAGGTAGTCCGTTGCGACCATATTTGACGACCTCAAACCCACTCATGACAAGATTCTTGCGTATTGCCGAAGCTGCTTGTTGTCGTCGAGTAAGATCGGCAAGTCGACGACGCTCTTCATTTTCTCGACGAAGGCGCTCTAACGTTACTTTGCCTGTCTGAATCCACGGGTGTGTTCGAAGAACTGACATTGACGGTCTCTCTTTCGGGTCTACGTGCAGCATCTTGGAAATAAGGGTCTTCACATTAATGTGAATGGCAGCCCAGTCTTTGGATGGGTAGCGCACATTGAACCGATGCGTTCGTAATTGTGCAAGCTTCATTGGAAACGGTGGATAGCCGCACATCATAATGTACGTCACGACACCAAGCGAAAACACGTCAACTTCAAGGCCGTATGCTCGACCGTCCAAGATTTCCGGCGCTGCGTACCCCGGAGTTCCGCATGAATCCAAGGCCTGCTCTTCCGGGTGATTTAGCTGTCTAGCGAAGCCAAAGTCGCAGAGTTTGATATCGTCACCTGATAGGAGCACGTTTTCCGGCTTCACGTCACGATGAATGATGCTATGCGTGTGGCAATAGTATAACGCCTCTACTAATGCAGCCGTCACTTTCTGCGCTTCGGATTCTGGAAATTTGCCTTGCTTGACAATCCGATCAAACAAATCTCCACCTTCAGCTAGTTCCGTGACCAAGTAACACTTAGTGTCGTCTTCAATCACTTCATATAGGCGCATGATGTTCACGTGGTTAACACTTGATAACACACGCACCTCGTGTGAAAGCGCAGCGCGATCCATCTCCGATAAACTCAGCTTGTCTACGATTTTGCACGCGTAGAACCCGCCTTTTTTGCGGTGAGTCACCTGCTTGACTGTCGAGTACGAGCCTTCACCTAGGTGTCTCGTGATAGCATAATGCTGATGAAAGTCAAGAAAGCTTTTTTCACCCTTGCGAAACGCCACCTTTGGTGGTGATAAGGATGTTTGCGATACAGCTTCATTTGGAGTTGCTTGCATTGACAAGTCTACTTTCATTGGCATTGTAGCACTAGTAGACGGAGAAGGAGATAACAAAGCCGTGCTCCCATTGATGCTGTCTTTGCTGCTACAATGCAATGTTCGAGGTCGTGTTGTGCTCTTTTCATTATCCTTCCCATGTCCAGACGGTGAACATTTTGTAGGAGCAGAAGTCTTGTCTCCAGGTTCCTCTGACGTATCTCGATCTCTTTTGTTCTGTACATTGACAACACACACACACACACAACCACAGGAGTCATCATTACACCATCATGAATATCACGATCGATTACCATAAGAGACAAGACTGCTCTACTTACGTTTACAAGGTACGTCTCTTTCAAGAAAGTATTGTTGCCAACTCGGGTCTCAACTGGTTCTACTGCGACGGTCTCATCCATGGACAATGTGACCATATCTTTGAACGGAACATGCACAGTCTCTTCTTCATTGTTACTAGAGCTGCTGGGTGCAGCAATACTCTTCCTAATGTTTTGACTACATGTAAACTGCGACAACACCTTTGTCGGCATCACAGGCGGTGTCGGATGCACTAGCACTAGCTGTTGTTGAATTTTCATCGAGCTAGACGGGATTGCTTCACAACACAAAGTGTCAGGCTTGACACCGAGGCACCAGCAGCTCAAAACGGAATAATCCGAACTCTGGAAAGTGCGAAGGGAGCAGTAGTTGACCCAGCTAGATGCGTGACGGAAACGGACGCACACTTTACCGTCTATAAAAGTTTCTTGGCGGTAGCACACGTTGAAGTGTGATGTCACAGACGTTTGTGGTCAGCGTCAAAGGACGTAACAGGCCGTGGTCAAACGAAACTACTAGACTGAATGACTCTCAAATCCGTTGCGGGTGGTGATTCCTTCTGTAGTTACCAGCGTTTCACACGCCACTAGAGACTAGTTTCGGCACAATGTACCGACGATATCCTTGGCTAGCAGGTCTTCATAATTGGGGTAAGCTCAATGTGATCCTCAGGCTTCGCGTTACTATCAGTCGATCGAACTAGCTCCTGTCGATAAGATCCATTCCAGTGTTAAGCGCACCATCGAGCAATTCCGATGGAAATCGATGCACACTAAGGTCGTTGAATGCTGCCTCATAAAGCGCAAAGTCTTTGTGGATCCTGGGGACACCGCACGGTAAACGCACTTCTTCCAAGTACGGCACCAAGCTTGCGAGCAAGAGCTTTTTGCGCTCTTCGGCTGAAAAAATACGGTCTCCGTAAGCTGAAAAGCTTTACAAAGCACAACATGACAAATCAATCGCGGATATGATCACATGAAGAGGGTACGTGCTCGTCTCCATACCTGTTGCCAATGATGACCAACTTCGTCATAGCAGGACCCCAATTGCAAGCGAGGACATTTTGATAAAGAGCCTTTCCACAGTGAGGCATGAAAAACGCCGTATTGCAAACGACTTGTCGCCGTGCATGCTCATTCTCCTCGATTACTTTTAGCTTGAAATGCTCAGCAATGACAGCGTCACTCTATTTGTCCACAGCAAAGGAACATCACATGAGATAGCACATACGTTACATTTCTCTCATCGCTCAAGAGTCTCACCACGTGGATGGGTATCTATAGCTGCAGCTTACGTTTTGCTGACCTTGTTCATGGCTGGGTCAAAAATCTCAACACCGTGCTGAATCTTGCCTGATATCTTGGAAACGTTAGCGTCTTCAGTCGAGTAACATGTTTCGTCCAGAGCTCGTTTCAGTGCTATGAGGAAACCTAATTGATGCACAGCATTAGACGATGCGCAGAAACTCCCAAGTCCGTAGCCTATCAACATCAGCGGCTCGAAAGTCTCATCTTCTTCATCAGCTCCTCCCGTCTCTTCGTCAAACACTAATGTCTTCGTTGCAGTCGGATTGAAGTGATCGACAATCACACGCCGTGTATCTTTGATCAACAACGAGTCGCGTAAGACGTCGGCAATGGCTCGAACGCGTTGAATGATCTGCAATTGCTTCACTTTGGAGACTTCGGGTACTGGTTCCACCATCTCTTCACCACCTGCACGAATCAATGAGAAATAGTCAGTCAAATACCATTAGCTCCAATTCAAGACAAAAAAAATGTCCACAGAATGAATGCAAAGGATCAAATGCATGCGTTACGAGCTGCGAGAGCTGTGAACCAGTCAATTCAGCACATTGTTTTCTCAAGCGACTTTTTTCCAAAAACGTCCAAAACATTTGACTGTTAGTACCATTTGAAGCGATTGTTGATCCATTCAATGCATCAAATTGCACTTTAGAAACCTGATGACGACAATTGCCACGTCGACGACGTGATATTTGCTGCCATGCTTGTTCCATTATAGTCAGTTTTTATCGTTTCGTCCTTGTCCGATGGGTTAAACCTACTAAACATCATATACAAACACGGTGATTTTATAAAAAGTGTAGCCATTGATTCCTGTGACGAAGGTGCTAACTCAATGGTATTGTTGAATAGAAATTTTCTGTGATTAAGATTTAAAAATTAGGATCATAAAAAGGTAATTCTTCATCATGACGCACTTAATTTGTACCTACCACACCTGGATTTTTAGCATGGAAAGATCAAATTAGTCTTTTTGGTAAATAAGACACGGACTAAGTGTTCACATGCGTAGCGTATTATAATAGACGAAGAGTTAAAAACCTATGAGAAATGATAAGCTAAAGAAATTCGATTGCGACCAAAATTTACAATAAGGTTCTAAAAATCGGCCAAAAAAGTCGGTTATTGGTGTGACAAACACGCAAGTCGCACTTTTGCACACATACAAAGAAAACCTGTACTCATTCATACCCTAAAGTACCAATTAAATGAGCTCAGTCTCGACGTAACTTGTAGCAAATTAGTCTAAAACTTGCCATTTTGCTGCAAAAAAGAAGCCAGGAGGTCCGTAGCGAAATCAGAGTCAAGACATCTCTCTCTCAGTCATAATTTCTATATACTACTACTACTACTATTATTATACACTGAATAAACTACTTGTAGTAAGTCTACTCAACACTTACTTTTGAGCTTTTGAAGGTCTTGTAATCCTACCTCGTGAAGTAAACTCAATAAACTAATGCCATTTACATCATCTCGGTAAGCACATGTATGAATTCAATCATTATTTGTATACTAACTATAGTACTATGAAATCTATTGTCATGTATTTTATTTGATTATAGAATTCCAGGTCCAAGTACCCACAAGACAATGAAATCATGTCTACCACGTCCAAGTGCTTTTTCAAGCCCTCATACGTCTGATAGGAGACTTTCAAGTGGAATAACAACAATGTCTTCAGCTCACAGAACTCCAGTAAATCGATTCCAGTCTTCTACTAGTACGACTTCTACTAGTACGACTTCTAGTAGTACTACTTTTACTCGTAAAAGTAGCAATCAAAAGACAAGTATGCAAGAGCAGGAGGAAGAAGAGATGGAAGGTGTTTCGTGGAGAAAACCTTTGGGTCAGACACTAATGGAGTCAAGTGCTACTGCTACTTCTGCTGTTGCTTCAAGTTTCGTATCGTCGTCAATTGATCCATGTTTGCAATCGGATAATATCCGTGTGCTGCTTCGAATTCGACCATCACCGGGGAAGGACAATCGAAAATGTCTTGAAGTAGCTCCAGATCAACGTGGAGTGACGTTAGCACCAGCATCTCAACAGGAAAAGCGATTTGGCTTTGATCGTGTGTTTATGGAAACATGTGAACAGGATGATGTTTTCCAAGATGCAGGTCGAGCAGCCGTGGAGAATACGATTGAGGGATATAATGGTAGTATCTTTGCATACGGACAGACAGGGTCAGGCAAGACTTTTACAATGTTGGGAGGAGCGACGAAGAATGCTCATGAATTACGAATGTCGCCGTTGCGTGGACTTACGCCACGTATTTTAGGTTATTTGTTCCAGCGGCTTGCAGGGCTCGCACGAGAACGAAACCTTGCGTATTATAATGGAGAAGAACAGGAGCGTGCATTGCACTATACGTTGGTATGCTCGTACTTGGAAATCTATAACGAAAAGGTGTTTGATTTGCTGGAACCGAGTGGCTCGGTCGCTGCACAGCAGCCTAAGAGTCTTCGTGAAGACCGCGACAAAGCGGTGTATGTAGATCAGCTGCGCGAGATTGACGTGGGTAGCGAAGAGGAAGCGCTGACGCTATTGCAGCTAGGTTCGCAGAATCGTCATATCTCATCAACAGAAATGAATCGCGAAAGCTCACGGTCTCACGCAGTTTTCTCGGTCAAGTTAGTGCTAGAGGAGCGAACTTCAGCTGGAGTAAAGCGTACACGCCGTTCGTGCTTGCATTTAGTGGATTTGGCAGGTAGTGAAAAACAGCGACAAACTCGTGTCCATGGCAAGCGATTAAAGGAGGCTGCCCAAATTAACAAGTCTTTGTCGGCTCTAGGCAACGTGATCATGGCACTAGTGGATGTAAGCAACGGTCATAAGCGGCACGTTCACTATCGTGACTCGAAGCTTACTTATCTTTTGCGGGACGCCTTGGGAGGCAATGCAATTACAAGTATTGTGGCTACTATTTCGCCCGAAGAAAAATACTTTACAGAAACGCTTAGTACACTGAAGTTTGCACAGCGTGCAAAGTTTATTAAGAATAATGCGGTACAGAACGAGGACGCTGACTCGCTCGTGCCAGTTCTTAAACAGCAAATTGAAAAGCTGGTTCAAGAAATTGCATCTTTGCGAAGAAGCGTCGGCATCGGCTTGACCTCCGATGCTAATGTTACTGATGCAGAGCATTCTAAGGACGAACAGATCATACGGTTGAAATCAATTGCCGATGCTGAAACAGAAACTCAAGTTCAGGAAAAGAAAACGAAAAATCGGTACGAGCCAGCTTTGGACATGATGCAAAAGCTGCTGCGTGCAAGTGGAGCAGCGTCACAAGCAGACATTGCTGAAGAAAAAGAGCCCCAGCAGCAAAAGCACGATGTTGTGGAAATTCGTTGTGACCGGCTTGAGATGCTGCTTTATCGCATGATTTGCCGTTTTGAGGAATACAAAGAGGTCACCTTTGACCCTAACCGGTACAAGCATACTCGGCGTTCAACGCATGCAAAGCTAAATAAGCTTCAAGGCCCTCGAATGTCAATGCTTCCCGCGCCTAAGCGATATAGTAGTGCTGCTGTGCGATACCATCATGTCGACAACCAGGAGTACTCCGCGGATGATGACGGATCTGCTGCTGCTTTGATAGCGGCTGAAAAGCGGGAACGTGATTTGCAAAAGAAGGTGCAAGATCAACACATCCGTATTGAGGAATTGTTGCAGCGATCCCAAGAAGCTGAAGTGGAAAATGATCTTATTCGTCATGAACTTTGTGAGCTGCTAGAGTGGAAAGCCTTTGTCGAAGAAGAACGGCGTCATGTCAGTGATGCTGTGCCGTTCGGTCCTCAACAGGAGAGTGAAGAGGAGGAGACACCAATATTGGAAGCATCGACAGTACCAAGCGAAGAGATGCAGGATTTACAAGAAATGCTGAATGTGTATCGCGCACTCTTCGATGACGTGACAGATTTGATGTACATGAAGAAGCCGATATTATGCAGTCCATTAAGCCCAAAGTCATGTTCTTCTGTGGTGACGGACTCTAATTCTACCTGTTATGCTTCAGGTGATGAGGATGATATTGGTGATGATTGCATCTCGGTGGATGGTTTCGAGGCGAGCGAAGACGGTGATGGAGGTGTCAGTGACACTTATCGCGAAGTTCGCCGCGTGAATGCTTTGAGCTCACGTCTTGGACGGAAGCTTGATCTCTATCAGGACACAATTCAGCGCTTAGAGAAAGAGTTGCAAACGACAAAGGACGAGCTGGAAACCTCTAGTGCTGCCACAAAATTTGCTGAATTTCAGCTCCAACAGTTGCGTACATTGGCATCAGATGAAGAGGCCAGGCAGAATCAGGTGGAGTACGATTTACGAAAAAAACTCAATGACGTGGAGAAAACAGTGCGTTCTCAACGTAATGAGATGACCCGGGTGCTAGACAAAAAGTTAGCTGATGATGCGCGTGCTCTGGAGCTTGAACTAGAAGTTGCACGACGCGAGGTGAAATATTTGGAGCATCGTTTTCGCAACAGCAGCGATAGCATTGATGACGGCAACAATGACAAGCGGATGAAGAGTGCACTACTGGACATTCAAAGGTACATGGAAGATATAGAGCAAGAAATGAGATTGTCACGATCTCCTTTGCCGACACCAGAGATGCCAAAAGCAAGCGATAGTGAGATACCAGCTCAACTGTTGACATTGTTAGATTGTGCTGTGAAAGATAATGCGAAGCTTTTGGAAACGGTGGGTGACTTTCGAGATAAGCGACAACGTAGTAATGTCTACCTTCAGTTACTCTCTTCGTTATTAGCTGTGGAAGCGAGCTTGGACTATGACGATTCAAGCGACGAAAGCAAAGAGCAGGAGTTGATCCGATTACAGCTTGAAACTGCCACTCTTCGAACTGGAGTCGGCGAGTTGACCGATTTCAGTTCCTCGGACGCTGTCGACGAGGGTCTCGCTGAAGCAAGTGAATTGGCGTAGAGCAGGCTCTTTTGACAGCGTCCGAGGTGGGCTCAATATGGCAGCTACTGGTTTCTGATGGTGTGTTGGGTTCGTGCTGGGTTGTATAAATCTTTTCGGCAGTGGTGTGCAGCTTATCATGGAGTGCTGACGACACGATTACCATCGACCCCGATGTTTCTTGAGTCGGATGAGCTTCGCACTGGGTGATTGATGCAACATCGATCTCTCAGGAGTACTTGAGTTGTTGTACAAAGGAATTGTCGAGTAGGGAACTGGATAGCTAAGAGTCAAGCTCAGTGAGTTGACAACGCTGAGCCTGCGACAACTTGGACCAAGTCGATGTTGTGGAATTTTACAAACACTAGAGAGCAAAGGAACAAAACTTGAAAAGCACTAGTTATGGAGAACCAAATATGATCCAGAATAGCAGAGGGAAGAGTACTGCCGGATTTGGCGACGAAGATGGCATGAATGCTAGAAACTGTTTACCCGCGAGTAAGAAAGTGTGGTGCTACAGACTATTAGCGTGAATCTGGAGACCGTCACAAGCTTTACGCGAATGCACTGAGTTGGCATGAAATGTGATCTACGCATACTTTACGACACATTGCGTTGTACATGAATACAATACTGTGTCTGGTGTCGTATTCCAGAGCTTCTTCGGACGTAGCTTGCATTATTCTGGATTTGGAGTGTCACGCATACGTCGTGAGTGCTTTGTAACTATACTTTCATGCCCAATTAAAGTAGTCGGAGCTTATAAAATTCAAGGTAAAGTGTATTAGACACACAGGTCATCCAGTGCCGGTTGTTATACGCAAAATATTGAGGGTTGACACAGGTCAAAGCCCTGGGAATGAATACAAATTGCTAGAGCGCGTATCGAAGTACATTGTGAGAAGACAGTGTTCGGCGTTTATAAAACAATACGTATGCAGCATCCGTCACAACATCGCCCGCTGCAATCTCTGAGACCTTCTCATCATCGAAACGAAACCACAGTTCGGGACACTGAACATCTACATGTTCTTCACCTACTGTGAAAAGCGCCGAACTCTCGGGGAAGTCGGCATCGTAGCAACAGTAAGCTGTGTAATGCCCACGTGTAAGCCCACCAACGTGATTCGCTACTGCGTACAGGTCATACACTGACGACTCTGCTTCATCCTGGTTGCTCATCCATTTCGAAAAGTCGAGACCTTTTAGTGGAAAATCAACAAGTGCGCGCACCTTTCGTTTGTGTTGGTTTTCAAGGTACTGAAATCGCTTCAGTTGTATCATCACTAGATCAGGAAGCCGCCAAATTGCGGACAACCGTGTGCCTTCGCGAGGAACACCGCACCGCTCGCATACCCAATGGTCATCCAGCGAAATCGATTCCTCACACATCAAAGCGTCCATACACTTCATCAATGGGACAGCATATCTCGGTGGACTATCGTCGTCTGCAACTGGTTCACTTCCTTGCGTATTTTCCGTCGCTTGCTTGGAAAGTGTATGTGATTCAAGGTCAGCGCGCAAGCTTGGATCCTTTTCAGCAGCTTCAACTACTCCTTCTGACGCGTCATCGGGTACACGTACTTCATGGTTTGTATAATCATGGTAATCTGTCCAGTCTAGCGCAAGAACACTGCGCGTAGAAAAATGTTGCAGCAACGCACTCGAGTTAATGGGTAAGGATTCGCCACGCTCACTAGTCAAACTCTCCAAATTCACAACGCGGACTTCATACGGTAGCTTCGATATTTTGACACCCTTGTCTTGCTTGTTCTTGACACGTCCAAGATCATTATTGAAACTTCGCCAGAAGCGAGCAGTCTGCAATAAAAGTGCCTGATGCATATCTTGTGCCGTTTTGTCAGACGCAATAGTTACAAACAAAGGAGTGCCAAACACCTTCAACGATGGCTGCTCATGTGTGGCTGAACTGCTGAGATTCTGCGAGCTTGGAATAACAATATCTTCTGTGGATGAGGGATCATCGCTACTGTCCTGCCCTGGCTTCGACGACGACGGATAGGATATAAACCGGTGCACAACTTGCACCTCAAACACGTCCGTCGGTATCGAAGTCTGAGTATGCAAAGGCTGGAGTCGCTTTGACCTCCAGTCGCGAGCGTTGAACCACTTGTTCCACTTGCTGCTAAAAGCATCAAAATGAACGTGCACACGTTGATGGTGCTTCACACGAACATTTTTTCTTTCGGACTCGCGGCTTCCGGCTACTTCGATCACCGTCCCTGTGCGCCAGTCATTGTGGTTGTCTTTTGCATCAACACGTGAGCCCACCTGAAGATCAGAAAAGCTTCGAAGTTTCTCATCAGCACGTTCCTTCGCACCAGCATCAGTGATACCGGTTGCACACGCATTATAGTACTCGACTATTGTGGCAGGAACAACGGGAATCTCTGCAAGAGTCCAAGCACGTTCATAAGCAGCAAGTGATCCAGGAGCAGCTGTTGCTAGTTTGTCAACAAGCTCATCTTTTTCAACAATTCGCTTGATGCGATTTCGACATACTTCCACGAGCAAAAACCGGTTTCCACTAGCACGTACGTGCACAGTTGCAATACGATCGCAAAGTGCACCTACGTTACTACCTCGACGAAGCCAATAGCCCCGCTGCTCGGCTTGTAGTGCCGTGCCTGAATCGTCATCGTCACCTGGTAGTTTTCGCGCCTGTAACAGTACGCTCACCTCTACACGTACAAAATTCGGTTCTGGAATGGGAAGACTGAAGAACAGATTCGGATCAAACGTGCAGTTGCGCTCGCCACACGTACCGCAAACGGTTTCACTACGCATTTGGCCGTGAAAAAGGTCCACCACGACGGAAGAATTCACACTAGTGTAATCATGCCAAGCAGCATCACCTTGAACTTCATCAAAAGTTGTCCCTGATGTCTCAAAATGGGCCTGAGAATCTTCAGTATCACTTTCCTGAATATCTTCGCCAATGAAGCTGCCAAAACCCAGACATCTTGAGCCCTTTTCTTGAATGACGTCTTCAGTAGGCGATAACATCGTGCGGCAGCCCTGGTTCAGGTCCTCATGAAGACAATCGAGAAGCGCAACCATAAACTCATGAGCATCATACTGGCGCGTTTCCTCAAAATGACTACAAACTCGCGTGAATTCGTCTCGAAATCGACCAGGCAGCAGGTAGCCTTGGTCACGCTCGCGCCAAAGAGCACTCTGAAGTTGTGCATACGCTGCAGCAATGGCACCTCGACTACCAAGACGATTTTTCTTGTTTACCTCGGGTTCAAACCGACTTGACAAGAAGTACTCACGAAACACTGGCGAGTGAAAGAAGCATTGAAGCGCGCTGTTCATAAAGCAGGTGTTGCCCATATTAATAAGCCCCGTAGCTCGAAGACCAACATGTGCAAGTAACCTTCCACGAGACGTTTTCGCTACTGTTTCCATTTGTTTGGCAAGCCCAGCAAGTATACGCCCAGAACCTAACAATGCTGACGATGCACTGGAAGCAGCCTCCTGTTCAGCAGCCATACTCTCGCGAAGAACCTTCCAGTCACCAGATCTAGCAAACTTATCAAGACTTGAACTCGGACAGCAAAGAAAGTCATTACCCACGGGCTGTAGCATGGCGACGGCAAAAGGCGTTCGAGGAAGAATCGTTGCTAAACTGCTTCGTAAGTGTTGCTGCGCAATACTTTGTGGGTCAGTGTCAATGTCCATTGCTCGGAAGTCCACAAGTAGTTCTTGAGCACTCGTAATTTTCAATCCTTCCAAGCTGGCATGTGGATCGTCAAGGCTACATTCAAGCCGCACCCATGCTTGAAGACGGCGTCGGCGTAGCCAAAGCGTGACCTCGCTTGCGTTAATGCCTGGAAAAATGCCCATTCGATGCACAATTTCCATCAGGGTGGAAGCACGGTGTAACAAGAACCGCCGAGAATACACCAGATACACATGACGCGAATCATGTCGTGCTAGACGAACCTGTAGCGCCACGGGATACAATTCAACATCTACTTGTTGCTCCTGTTGACCTCCTTCGGGCTTTGACATCATCATAGTAGCATCGTTAGCTTTCGCATCCTCCTCTCCTGAAGGCATCTCTTGTTGTTCACCAACTGAGAATGCACCAATGATTCGCCGCGGAAATGCGGGTCCCCCACCGTAAACTTGCAAGAGTCGCTTCCAAACACCACCAGGCACAAGTACAAAATCTTTTCCCTCTGCAAGATCGCGGCGTAAGGTACTCAAATGCTCGTTCGCACAAATATCACTATTTGCAATCGGTCCAGGACGAGGGTGGCAAACGGTAAACCGAACCTGTTGCTGCTGCTGGGTATTCTGCTCCTGCATCTGTTGGTCTCCAGCTTCCTGCTCCCATTCACTATCATTACTTTTATATGTCTTCTTGAGCAGTGAGAAATTGTGACTGTGATCAGACCAAACATATCGCTGCCACTTATTCCACCAGCTACTCGACACCACAAAAGCTGTATCGCCTGTCTTCCACTGCATATTATCCATCTCCTGGAGAATCGACGCCTCATCGAACAAAGCTTTCACCACTTCAAAAGGTGCTAGCAGCACATGTAGCACATGTGCACCCAATTCACAGTCCATCTCTTGACAAAAATGCTGTTTTGTTACTTGGCTCTGTCCTGCACCCAACAAGAGTTTATTCAACGACAACGCCAAGTCGTACCCCTGCTCTGTCTGCACTTTACTGTTACAGCCAAGCTCTCTAACCGTCACTGCAAGTAGCTTCACGTCAGAACTCGTCATCACTGCGTTACTCCCATCTCCTTGGAACCAAGCGAATGCTAACTCTGCCATCTCTCGTACTGACGAGCTTCTAGCCACCTTCACTTTGACTAGCATCTCACACAGCTCTTCAAACTCGATTTTGCCCGTTTTATTGGCGTCAAATGCTTGGAACAATGTATATTGCGCTGCTTTTGATGCTCGTCCTAGCAGTGGAAAAAGCCGCACAAACTGCCGCCTCGTATTGAGTCGGAGCCTCAAATTGGCGCGTCGACTAAAGTGAATACGCTTGCTATGTACAAGAGCCGACTCAATTATCATCTCGAGTTGTTGATGACGGTCCAAGCCCCTGGAACTAGCGACTGACGGCGGTGTAGCTGATGTAGCGGACGAACTGAAACTTGCCGAGCTGCTGACGCCAATACGCGTCCGTTCTTCACCGCGAGCGTCGCATTGAAGAGCTTGAAGATCCATCGATACATTCAAAGTAATTGTAGTCTTTTGTACAGCAATATGAACGAGTTCTCGTAGTACAAAAAGCTCTGGTAGACTCCAGGAATTCAATAAACGTATACGTCGAGCTTGTGACTGCTGCAGAGCTGCTCCAGTTGCGTGGGTTGTATGTTTCGATGCACCACGAGCTAGTCGATGACGTCGGCGATGAAAGAAGCGACGTAATGAGCTGCTATGGCCACGTGAAGAGGATGAAGAGAGCATACCGATGGACGTTCGGAAATATCCAAATCTGCTTTTGAAGGCGATTTGCTGTTTGATTCGATTTTTTTCTCGGGAAAAATAAGGATAAACCGATGGGTGCGTAGTAGACTACCGGTATAATAAGTTATCCTACTGTATGATAAAAGAGACAGACAGTGTCAAAGAAGAGTTAAGTTGGGTGCTTTTGTTAAGTTCGAATCGGACATAAGCAGAGCAACAGACTGAGAATTATTTATATCGAAAACGTCTGATAGAAAATAGCCCTATTGGCTGCCACGACTTGTTATGTATGGTATAGCTCAGTTTGTAACCTAGGAACTGAACTGTAGAGTAGATAGTTTGCAGCAATTTGCACTGCTCACGGTTAGTGTTGTGAAGTGCATGATTAATAGAAGCATGAAGAGAGCTGTAGGATACGAGAGTAAGGGACAGAAAGGTTGGACTAGTTACAAGTTGTTGTTTGGCATCACATTGTGAGGACAATTGCATGAAAGATGCTACTCCTTGTATCTAGACTGTACCAACTAGAGGCTGCTGAAAGTATCACAATAGAAGCTGCACTCAAGCGTCTTTTCCTGGCTATAAGTTGCTTACTGTATCAGTTTATTCTTCATGCCGCGGTATGAACCAACGCGCAAGCGGTTTTCTGACGACAAGCTGTCCATGTGTCTTGCCACAAGACGCAAAAACTCTGAGATATGACGCACGTACGTTTGCTGCTCCATGTCCGTGTGTTGTCGCAATGAGCGATAACTATGCATATCAGCAGTAAATGCCAAGTTGAGGCAGTTTCGGATTCTCTTCGTTGTAACGTCGAAGAGAATTTGTGCGGTATTTGAGACATCTGATACTGCTCTTAGCACACTTATCTAAGAGTCGGTAGATGAGCTGCGAGCGCCGCGCTTGAGTATAATGTCAAGCAACTTGGCAAGTTTGTGTTTCACTCTCTCCTCGCTCGAATTCGCGGTGTCAGCGCTTTTGAATCTGTGCTGCCTAGCACGTTGAGCTTGATTGGGTGGATGCAGAGCAAACATGGCACTTATCATTTGTCAACATGCTGCCCTCACAGCATTCCACTCGACACACACGATCGTTTGACAAGTCTGTCAGCTCGATCTTGATTTTGCTGCCTACAAAACTGAAAAGGCCATAAGGACTACAACGGGCATATTGAAGCGGGTGTATACATATAATCGAATAGATCGATAGCCAAGCAGATAAACCCAGTCGTGTTTCGTTCCAGTAGCTCCAGAGCACTCCGACCTAACTAACGTAACTTTTCTGCATTCGATGCAATCTCTGGGCATCTTGATCATGTGCTACTTTTCTCCGTGATACCGTCGTATTCTGCCTGCTTTTGTTCTATATCTTCTTGTACTCCGCCAACACCTCCGACTACTCCTTTTCCTTCATATGTTCCTTTATAGCCCAAGGATTTGGTTAAGTTTTTGCAGTCAATACCAGTGCAACTTGCACTTCCAACAAATGACACGACTCGGCCGGTGCGCACTGGCCAGATGCAGACACTATGACAAGATTGTGTGATAATGGGCATCGAAATGTGAAGAGCAGTAATATTGTAGAATCAAAATATCCAGTAGGCTTAGAGGTAGGTCGTCGTAGCGAACTAGGAACATAATGTTCAGCCACTTCATTAACCTTCATCTACCTGCATAAGCACTCTACAATCTGCGCCAATCTCTGTAACGACTACACGTTCGAGTTTTGCCATTGCAGTTTGGCTATGTAGATCAACCAAATGAAGCAGGAGAAGCAGGAGAAAGTTGTCCAAATTTGTTTAGTGAAATAAAAGTATCTTTGCGCCTGACTTTAAAATAGCCAGTCGGCGTTTGTCTAAGCAAGAAAAAACACTATCGCATTGTGTAGAAGTGCGGCCATTTGACTTTATAAAAAAGACAGGAAAAGAACGGTGCCAATTAGGTCTACCGAGACTCATTAAATCGCCTTTGCTTTCAACCCTTACTGTGCATAAGTTCTTAGGATGCCTGCTAGGTTCAGCGCAACGGTACTGATTGTTATCGCTCAGCTCACGAACGCGGCACCTATGGAGTCACCAACTGAGGTGGCCACACGCAGCTCATATGCTTCACTAACAATGAATGCAGGCCATGACAGCGTCTTGGTCAAGCAAAACTTGAGGTCCAAAATGAACGTGGCAATGAAGGACGAAACTAAGACTAGTGACGAGCGAATGAATGCCGTCCGGAACATTGTTAGCGACTTGGAATCAAAAGCGGTAGACATTTTTGAATCTCCAAAGACGATGGAGTGGTGGAAGGAATATGAAATTAATGCGAAGGGATTGTGTGATGTCCTCGGTTTACCAGGGGAGGGCGGATCTATAGACAAGCTTTTTGAAAAGTTGGAGTTCTTCATGTTGGAAATTTTGGTACGGGCAAAAACTTACAACAGGTTACACATGTTATTCTCCTACGGATCCATTGAGCTAGCTACTTGGATGAATATCTACGACGCGTTAAGAGTCAGGATAGGCGAGCTTGATCTTGCAAGGCTGATTCAAAAAGAGTCCGAGAAAGGTAATCCCTCCGAGGTGGTGCAGCAGCTGCAAATCGAAGAAAGTCGGCATTGGTTGGGGCTAGTCCTCCGCGGACATACACTCTTCTCTCATCTTGCACCGCACCCAGCCTCGGCCATGGACAAAGATCTTACACACGATATCCACAAAATTGTGGCGATGCATGAACACCTAATTACGACAGGTCAAGTCGAGTAAACTAAGCTTGATTTGGACAAGTCTGAAAGAAAGGTGTAGAACGTTTGGTTGTAGCTGGTGCTTTTCATTGTATATGATAAAGTGCAGATAACAAATGGAAGAGTATACATAATCTTCATACACGCTTCCATTATTTTAATCTAAAGTTGATTGCCATCACTCCACTACCTTAGTCATGACGTAACGTAGAGATACTCTGACAACTTTGAGTAGATAGATAGTTGGTGCGCAATAGCGCAAGATTAAAGTAATGACGGCGCTTTGAGCAACGAAGGCCATGAGTATATATGGACCTCCCACACGAAATTAATGAATTTAAAAGCCAAGCTTAAGTGAAGTTGGTTTTGAAGGGTCAATGTGTAGTAGCGCCTGTCGAGCTGCTGAGTCTCACCTTGAGCCCACGGTTAACAGACGCACAATTTTATCCATGTCGCCCTCTGTGGACCTACAGTTGCTATCACTAAGATGAAAGTCCAGAACTTGTCTGCGCTTGATGTTGTTTGGACGAGCAGTACGACTTCCATACATTACTCATTGTAGGACACTGTCACATGCCTTTGGCGTTTCCGTAATTACGTTGATGTTGATATGTCGAGACAATTTCATTCTTGTGATAAGTATAGGTTACCTTAGAATATCTTTACATGCTATAAAATGCATCTCAAGTGGTGTGTTTAACTACTACCTTACCTAGTGCAAGCTTTGGTCAATATAAGGATGCACACACATCGTGGAGGCGGGACTGAAATTGGAAAATAATCCAACACACTGTCCGCAAATCGACAGAAGTTGCTACCACATTGCAAGCGTGTCATTGCGGAAAAGAGAAGAAATAAAGTAGGACAGATTACTCGGTAAATGATCACCTAGCTACTTGTCGATCGATATTACTTGAGATTGCAATGACAACACACACACACAGAAACGACGGAAATTGTCGTCAGTAGCCTTAGCCCACTCTGTCTATTCTATCTACAACTCGCTTCTGCGGTGAATCTGAACTAGCTTAAAACTGAACTAGCTTAAGATCTGAACTAGCTTAAGATCTGAACTAGCTTAAGACTCACTTGTACTGCAACGTCTCACCTGACCAGATAAGACTCGCATCGGGTAGTCTAGTTTGGTACTATTCAAATGTATCTTGTGCCCTCACTTAAGATACCGCTCTCACAAGGTAAAGACTTCATCTGTATTTTGTGTCTATGCATTCAAAGCCTCACACTCGTCAATCCAATCCGTATAGACGTCAATTGGTGCACTCAAATCTGCAATTAGTAAACGATTTTAGCCAGCCATTATGTCAGTACATACAGTCAAGACCCTTGACACTATGTAATCATCGTACAATGAATTGGAGTCTGAAAGCTTTCGGTACATACGCGGCAGGACAAGTGACCAATGTTACGTTCACGATCCCTATGTAATTACATATATAGAAATACAAGAAATAAAAACAATCAGATAAACAAACGTAACGAAAGAGTGCAATAAATGGCCGAAAACGAACATTTTACACTCGACGGCCTCGTCGTGGGAACAAAAGGGACATTTAAACACTGTAGAGACCACTTGCTTCTTGCGCGTTTGGATCTTCTTAGTGGATTTCTTTCTTCGACCCATAGCTCAATCTGTTTTGTATTGAGCTTGTTTGTCCTTACCCTGTCCCCTACACTTGACTTGTGTCCTTAGAAGGAGAATTTAATAATGAGTTGCAAAAGACCCAGTGGTTGACCTCTTTAATTGAATAACCTCAAGATCTATCGTGTCGATATGACTGCAGCACATAATATAACTACACACATGGACGACCTTTACTGCATTCTTGCATAGATACAATCATTGAGACTTCACTCTCATTCATTATTTAAAACTGGCAAATGACTTCAAACCAGGCTTCAGCGTCCCTATCTCTTGTAGCTTGTTGGCATTTGGCCCCACCTGCACTGCACTGTAGGGACCTCAGCTGACAGCAGACGACAGCAGCTTACATAAGCTCAAGCTTGACCTCCTTTGGAGCCTTAAAGTCGGCACCCTCGAGGCCAAAACGGTTCATGTAGGCATCCAAGTCAGCCTGAAGCTCGCTCTGTTCTGCCTCCGTGAGCTTGACCACCTGGCCCTGTTTAGCCTCAAGTTCTGACGCGTAGGCGCGCAGCTCCTTAGTGAAGAGAGCAGCCACGTCGTCCTCCTTATCGTCCACATTGACGTTGCCCAAAATGTCTACGGCGTGCTTAAAGGCGGCGTCCTTGAGCTTCTTATCGCCAGTCTGAATAAACGCACGAACCTTACTCGTAGCGCTAGCCACCATATTCTTCTGCAGCTCAATGTTGTAGCTGGCTTCAATTTCGCGAATAGACTCAAGATTTTTTACAAAGGTCTCGCGCGTCTTGTGGCGCAGCTTGTAAGCCTGCACCTCGCACAGCAGAGCGATGGCTTCCTTGTGAGCCTCAGCCACAGCAGCAATGTCTTCATGGATGTTAAGCATAGCCTTATGGGTTTCTAGCGTCTCCTTTGCCAAGTTCAAGTTTGCGTCCTCCACGGCGTTGTGCTCACTGTTTCACAATAGAAAGCAACAACTTAGTCTTCCTCATCATGAGATAACCAATATCGCAAAGTCTGCTATCCCTCACTCCAAGATAGCAGCAGCACGGCTGTCAAAATACGAGGCAATCATCTCGCCACCAAACTTGTAAGTAGCCGAACAAAAGAGCAGAAAACAGCAGGCTAATTGCGACTCCTCGTTTAGCACGTAAAACTGCACAAAGCACCGCCAAAAAGGATCAGCTCAACATGTTGCACACACGTCATGAAATCAGTTCGTACGTGATTTGAGATGGCAGGAATGGCCAAGGCGCCAATGATTGGGGCGGAGATTTTCCAATCGGTCAGACCAGCCTGATCCAGCAGACCCTGCGTCGGGACGGCAATCTCCTCCTCTTTCTTTTGCACGATGCCGGTGTTATGAATGCCCATTGGTCGTAGCATCTTAGTTGAAGCAAGCTTGGACGAGTTTAGCGCCGCTTTACGGAGAGCGGTACGACCGAGCATACTAAAAAGCAATTGGTGTGTGTCTCTCTGTCAGTCTGTCGTAAGTTTGACTAGAAAGTAATAAGCGCCGGCGCTCTTCTGGGCCGCACAATTCGATAGATAGATAGCCACTCGCTTGGCTTAGGTTGCCTCCCCCAGTGCAACGTAAGGAGGCAGCAACTTTCAAGCAACAGAAACTAGAAAACTAAATAATATTTTTCATCATGCCAATTGTAATTATTCAATTCAGAATCTTATAAGTTATTTATTAGGTCGTATTTATTACATGATTTCTGCGGGCAAGAGAAGTCAATTGGGTGCACTTATTACACTGGTAAAGTTAATCTGCAAACATTAAGCGACTAGCGGAGTTTACTTTTCAACTACTACTGAATAAGATAAGCTTCATGGTGACTCACAATAAACACGTGGATCATTTACATTCTGCGCAATATGCTCTATGCCCAGCTGCTGAGGATATTTCTTCTTTACAGCACCGTCTGCTTTACCTTTTAATGTTCACCAAGCAAATTCATCGCCTTGGCTTGGTTTGTGTAGCTTTATCCGCCGTTTTCTTAAACAGTAGGATCGCATACGTTATCAAACTAGCAATAGCTGCATCTACAGACCACAGACATTGCACCATTCAGTAACGTCAACGCATTCTCCTACTTCATCTCCTGACTATTAGTTTTTATAGAGTCAAACCCCGTTTGTACTGAGTGACGAGCAGCCAGATCTTCATGTCACGTCATTAAAGCTTTGCTGTTACCAACGCCAGCTCTGCAAACTCTAGCAACAACTCATCAATTTCAATCCCAAATATAGATAAGAGTACGAGTATAGCATCCTCTATACTGCTGATATGAAAAGCAAAGGTCGGTAAGCAATCGTAGGTCAATTGCAAGTAATTGTATTTCAGTTTTTCGCTCGCAGTCTCTTCTACTACCTCAAAGCCAACGGAATCTTTCGAGTACACATGCTAAGTCGAGCGCTGCTTCGACAACAATACGCTTAATAGAGTGCAAAATCTCGTCACGTTCAATGGCATCATTGTCTTTGACGCTAAAAACGTGAATCTGTGTCGCTACTTTTCGGTCTTTACGAGCGTAAAGAGTAAGCAAAAAAATATGATTGCGAACGTGGTTGCCGGTGAAGGAACGTGACCATCATTCTGATAGGTTCGAATCAGATTTGGACTAGGTTCGCATTTGCTTCAGCTCGCGCAATGACGTGGAACGCGAAGGGAAAGGAACTGCTTCGAGAGCTCCAGCGCAGCGATTGGTTACCGCCATATAATGTGAGTAAATTGTACTGATAAAGGAATTGATTGGCGGTAGGACTTAGTGCGATTTTGTATGTAACTACTGGTAATGACAATTTTTGATGGTTGGTATTTGCGCAGGAAGATTTGGTGCGGCAGGTCGTGGAGGAGTCACGATTGCTGCATGAAGAGATAGCCAGGAAAATGAAGTACGAAAGTAGACACGTTGCTTGTTTGATTGATAGTGTCGTAGTCTAGGAGTTTAACGTCTGTTGCTATTGCTACTTCTTGAGCTCAGCATATTTCAAGATAATTTAGAAGCACAACCGCCATCCGTGCACTGTGGACTTGTAGTGAACCACCAGTGTCTATTGCGCAACAAGCGCTGTCTCATGGCTTATATGTAAGTGAATCTTTTGCTGCAGATGAGTACAAAAATAGCTACTGAGGTGTTCGACCTGTGCTGCTGGTAGATACCACCGAATGGAGAAGATCAAGGCGCTGAGATGGGAAACGGGTACTATTATCCCTGATTCACTGGCTCAGAAGTGCGTTTATTGACGACCATGTGCTAGACGTTAGTTACGATACTAAGGTATTGCTATTCGTTCCGAAGTTTATGTCAGCGTGAGGTGCAGTTTTTCAACCAATATGACCAGCTGCTAATGGACTACATGACCGAATTTGAGCTCGACCTATCGACTGTAAGGATTACCATCAGTTATTTATTGGTGTTGGCAAATCTTGTTTCTGCAGCTGATCATACGGTTATTGTCGCAGGGTCTAAAACCACCAAAGGATTTGTACGTGGAGGTGCGGGTGTTGTGTGATTGTGGCGAGGTCATGACTGAGAATGGAATAGTAAATCTAGAGGCACATTCGCAACACTTTTTACGACGTGTAGACGTGGAGCAGTTTATTCGTCAGGGTTTGCTTAAGCAGATTGAGCGCTGAATTTGAACAGACAGACGATTTGTATGGTAACACTACGTTTGTTGTATGTAGTCTTTCACTATCATTTGATTCGCGTATTCGATAGGTGCTGACTGTACAATTGTAAGGACTGGTGCTTTGATGTCACACCTTTTCACTGACAATCCATTAAGTTCTTACGGCCAATCACATCACTCTTACGACACGTTACACGCGTACGTCAGTCAGAAACCAACACACTTGATAATTATTAATATCCCGGCAAGAGCGACTACAACAATCCTGTGATTCATTTGCTAGCATCAAAAAAACGCCTTGATGTCTGAGAACAAACCCGAAAGAAGCGATGACAAGCCTGTCTGTCCCCAGAAACCTGCAGCTAAGAAGCTTTCTAGCTTGTATCTGCTGAGCCTGTCGGCCGCAGTGATGGTGTTTTCTGTGAGTTGCGCAATGTACATGGATATACCCCTGAACACGGGCCGTCTGCAGAGTCTGGTAGATCTCGTGTCCAGCTCTAACGACAAGCCGGGATCAATCGAGTCCAGTGTAGAAAATCTCCCGCCGTACGAGTCAGACGTGATGACAATGCAGGTGCGTCACCTTGTGAGCGAGTTGACATGTAATGACTCCGACTACTCGGCTTCAACGTTGTTTGACGGCAAAGTGTTCCCTGTGACGGAGCCAATGGAGGCAGAGCATTCCATGTCAGATGACAAAGTCTTCTTCATGCTCAACGGTGCCAACGATGGCGTCTACGTGTCCTGGAACGGTCAATTTGACTGTCTGGGTCAGGCGGCGGAGGTAGGAGCGGCTTGGCTTGGTGCGGACCTAGATCAGATGGAGAGTGGTGTACGTCTCTATAGTCAAATGGGTTGGCCAGTTCGCAATAAGAAGGAGTTGAGTGACACGAAAAACATAGTTCACGTGTTGCTGGATTTCCAGTTGTGGCAGTGGCCAGGCGTTAAGAAGGGATATAAGTACGTTTTGGAGGACGGTGTGACGTTAACGACTGTGGGTATTAGTCCCAAGGTATTTGATGTGGAGTTTTTTCTCACTCAGGAAGAGGCTGATAAGGCCATTGAAATTGGATTGCCACATCTAAATCGATCAAGAGTAGATGGCACAAATTCATCGACGGTCGTGTCAAATGTACGTACAAGCCATACGGCATTTTTGCCCGAGAGCCTATTTACGCGTGACTTTCAAAAGCGGTCGGCTCGTGTCGCTCGACTCCCAAGTCCTTCTTATGTTGAGAGAATGCAATTGGTGCGCTATGCTGCTGGTGAGTTCTACCGACAGCACTTAGACACCTTCCACTCACGCGATATCTTGCCTAAGGGCGCACACTCGTTTGAGTTTGAGGATTACGTGGTGTGGACCAAGTGGGCTGCAGAAAAAATTCGCGGTCTGGACCAGAGCAAGGTGCCTGAAACGTTCCGGGAGGGCGGCCCGTTGTTCCCGAATGGTGATGATCCTATTGTTTTTCCGAATGCACTTCTTGAGGTGTTTTATAACTACATGAACACGACCAACAGATTCAAGGCGCTGTATGATTCGGGTTACGATGAATGGATCCGTACAAACTTGGACAAAAATACCAGCAATATGGTAAATAGTCTGATGGATAAGGAGTGGCGACCATCGTACTTTCCTCTCATTGTCAAGTCTTGGGAGGAGAAGCTGGGTGTCCCTGGACTTCATTACACATTTCCCAAGCACGATACGAACTCCGTTACATTCTTCTTCGACTGGATTCGATGGGCCAAGGAGCGCGTGGCTTTCCTAGGTGATATGGTGCCGCTTGACGCTCGTCCTGGTGGGTCCTTGTATCCCCAGTTCACAGTCAAGTTCCAAAGGATGCTGCTAGATTTTATCCTTGATGACTACACTCCGGGATTTCTCATACGAATGACCAATTCGGAATGGTACGATTGGATGATGGGTAACCGTAAACACAACTTTGTCCTTTTCCAAGTGATGCAGGTTTGGCCGCAGTTTGCTGAGCTGACGATCCGCACTTGGGAGACACGCCTTGGTAACGTCCCCAAGCTGCGCTACAAGATGCCCAAGTACGTTCACCATTTCCATCCGCAGCGATATGTGACGTTGTTTCTTTACCTAAACAACCAGACCAAAATGGGTGGTGAGACGGTCTTTCCCTTGTCAACAGATCGGTATTTGGATGAACAAATCGTGCGCGATGGAATGGACGAGTGCTCTCTCGGTCTGGCTTTGCCTCCTCGTAGTCTGCACGCTTCCCTCTTTTACGTCCAAACACCTAATGGTATTGACGACGTCATGAGTCGTCACGGCGGTTGCCCACCTCACGAAGGTGTGAAATGGGGCGCCAACTTGTTTATGTGGAATTCGGTTGCTACAGAAGGTGCCGATTTTTGGTCCACTAAGTGATCCGCCACAGTGACTGTTGTTACAGTTGACGCTGAGTTGGAATGTACGTGCGTCATGCTGGAGTTGTAGGAATTTTACAATGGAATAGTTGTAGGAATTTTACAATGGAATAGTGACCCTAAAAATGCAATTGGTTTCGTGATTAAAGTGAGTCTGCTATCACGAGATGAGATAAGCAAACGGGTCTTGCTTGATTCGATTAAAAGCTCTGACGCAACGCACTGCACCATCCGTGCACTGCAAACCTGTAGTGAACCACCAGTGTCGACTGCGCAGCAAGTGCTGTCGCGTGCCTTGTATGTACGTGACACTTCTGATACTAGTTTTCGCTGCATGTGAGTACAAACATAGCTGCTGAGGGCTGGTAAACAACGGTGTGTACCACACAATAGACATACTCATCTGCCACACCATTTTGATGTGGCAGGACAATGGGCTCATATCTTGGCAAGCCACGTGATTACAGTTATGTGGTTAAGTAACATGAGTATGTATGTATAAATAGTGGATTACAGAGCCAGTTAAATATAGTGACTATCGCTATATTTAGATAAGGTAATTCGTCTTTAGTGTATGAAGATTAAACTAAACAAATCAGTCCTAAGAACCTACTTGGTAAGGATTTGTTAAAGCATTGTTCCATGTAAATAGTATTCGTGATAGGTCTCGTAGAGATGCGGATTGTGTAATCAAAAATGTAGAAACTGGTGTAGCTTGCCTTGTAGGAGTTAGGAACCTAAGACGAAAAGCTCCGATAGCTTGTGTTCCTCTGCACTTGGTGCGTATAGTAGATTGAATACGGTAGCTTGGCTACACCTGGTAGCGCTTTCAGTCAATCCCACACCTGGGTCTGCGAATAATTCTCTGTGAGAATGGACATCGAATGGATGTCCACGGCTGGTCTATCCCAGGCACAACAAGAAGGGTTGAAAAAGCGGCTTTCTATTCTTGGCCCGAAGGGCATTGCTACCGCATCACACAAAGCGAACAAGAGATCAACAAGCGTACTCGTATACTTGAAGAGTACAATACCGCTCCCGAAGAGCATGTAAAGGCGCAAATGTGTCATCTGATGAGAACCTTCCGTTGTTGTTGCTCATATCGTGTTTTCTTGCTGATGCGACTTTCCAAAATCTCTTCGACTTCGTCTTCAACCTCTTCAAATCTTTCACCCAGCTGTTTTCTAGCAAAAGGAATTCATCAAAGTCTACCCGTTCTGCTCTGACCATCCCTCGATCGAGGAATTCTCGAACCTTCTTGAGCGTGGAAATATGCATCATCGGGAATGTTCTGTACTCCGTGCCTTTTATTTCCAGACGCGCCGCGTATTACCCAACCAGCTACAAACTCGAAAAGGTCCATGCCAAAAATAAGCAAGTTTTTTGGCGTACCCTTCTTTTGCTCGGTCAGGTAAAGCCATACTTGTGTCCCTGGATGATTTTATGGTCGACGACCGCTTCGTTATGTGCTTGTATACGGGCTTGACTGGCTACCCGTTGGCTCTCATTCACTTGTCCTCTTGCTCGCTGATAATGCCGCTGAACGTGATACCTCCATCTTCGAGTCCCAGACTCTCGATGTCGAGTATTTACCACCGCTAATGTGGCTTCAAGGGTGGTTCTATCATCCCAACCATAGACCTATTATGGTGTTGTGGTGAAGCGTTTTAAGAATTGGTAGGTCAGAGGACCGGTGGGTCAAGGAGTAGCGACGGTTGGGTAAGGAACAGAGAGACGGCGCTAAAAAGGGATGGGGAACGACCGTTGGATGACGAGATTGTACGGGCTAAAGCGTGCTCCATTCAGAGGAGTTCACCGCAGTTAGTCCGATGGACCGCGGTTCCTCGAGGTGGATCCCGGTCTTTTCGAGGTTGACCCTGGTCCCTTGTTGGTAGGCCCTCGGGCCCCTCGGTCACCCGGCTCCTTCGGCTAGCAGAATCAAGAATCAGGTCTCGGGGGTAAGGATAGAGCAAAGAAGTTAAATGATAGGACCATATTAAATTCTACTCAATTTGTGATCTAATAGCACACCTCCGTCGTGCTTCCAAGCTACTTACTAAGTCTACCCACCTGTTCCGGGAAGGGATACATTTTGGCCCCCGACGAAGACAGTTGTGTGATAAGACCCAAGTGCGAATAGAGCCCCAGGATACATTTGGCCTGTGGGTTCGTCTGAGTAGCACCCCCCCAACTCAACCCGCTATCAAAAGCGGTCTCCCCGTCCTAGCGTGCCGCGAGCAAGTAAAGGCCAGACGGTTAACACCCCTGAGATATCAAGGGAAAGGCCGGGGTTGAGAATCTTCCCTGAAGAATTTGGTTATAAGTCCACCCTCGACCTAGTCGATCGAGTGGCCACCTACTAGCCTACCGAGTGAAGCATATCCCCTCGAGGCACCCTAAGGTTGGTTTCTTTCAAGGACGTCATCTACATCTTTACCAAATCTTCTGAAAAGTGCAACCCGCCAGCCGACGGGTTATACATAAGGTGAGAGAAGGTCCATACGCGGCACCGGGGTAAATCCTCCGACAGTCGGCAGTCCGGCACAGTGAGTGGCTTGGGGTCTCATTACGCAGTTTTGAGAACCCACTTCACCACAATGGTGCGCGTGCCCGGATCTTCGGAAGACGCGGGATATCACCACGAGTATTAAGAAGATGAAGATGTTCGAGCAAAGATTGAGGGAAAGACCGAAGAGTCACTGGAAGGCCTATCGCCAGTGACAACACAAGAAAATAACAAAGGACCGAAGGACCGACCGGACCTTGGGAGTGGCCTGGTCAACATGGTCAAGGTTGAAGTTATTGAAGAGAAACCGAAATATCCTCCGTATTTCCTCCTTGAGGACACCTTGGGTCATGATACTATCATCCCCAGAGGACAATCAGTCGAAGGTGCAAAACGATAGACTATTGTACCCAAATACTAAGAACATACAAAAATTTACAAAAAAATACGATCGCTATGTCCAAGCCCACCAAGCTCTGGATGAAGACACCAGGTGACACCAAGTCGGTAGGTCCCTTGACCTCAAAACTCTTGTTCTGGTTGGATGTGGACGTGACCAAGGCCTACCATCGACTCAAGCTTGACGCGGTCCTAGTGAGTGACTCCGTCACCAGAGCCCTTGAGATCCGACTGCTGCGTCAGCTCAGTGGACCTGTGTCGACCCTTCCCAAGCTGAGGACGGTGACAGACGCGATCACCGCGCTCGTGACCCTTCTTCGCGAGGCGGGTATGGTTGCAGGAAGGTTCGAGCCTGAATACTTGTTTTCTCTGGGGTCCAACAATATCAAGACCACGCTAGAAATCCTACACAAACGTCTGGGTATACTGGTGGGAGCAACCCCAGTACTACTCGACTCACCTCCTGCTACCGCTACAAATACACCATCTGACGGCAGCCAGGTGACCCTGCAAGACACTGAGGTTCACTCTCGAGAGCAATGGTCAACCGAGGACCCATGGTCTATGCGAGGTCTATCACAGACCACCTTGACTCAGGGTCCTCAGGTCTTTGGAATGCAATCATCGCGAGGGTCGCCCGTCACTAGTCGGCACGTGGGCCGAATGCCACTAGGACCGACTGGCATGCCGCTGCTGCAGTCCCTAGCGGAGAGCGCGGACGACGAGCAGCGAGCTCACGAAACGGCAACATGTGTACAGCCAAGGTAAAGTCGGGCTTCTGATAGGTCGAATTTTCAACCAATCAGAAATGATCCAAGACCAGTACCGAATTATACCTCGTCACGTGACGAAGCTGTCCGGGGAGGAGTGCCTACCGACCCGGTAGGTGACAGGTATACCTCGACGTGGCGATGGCAAAATTCTTACAAGAACGCCAAGTACCGCAAGCACACATCGATGGAAGTGCGGCCAGAGGTCGACAGAGGGCGCAGAGGTCAACGGCCCAGATGGGTCCAAGTGCAGGTATGCAAGGTGCAAGAGAACAAGCAATGACCGAAGTGGAGATGGAATCGGTCGGTTCGTGCGAATACGACCCAGACAACATGGACCTCGATGGACCTCTGGCGAGAATGGCCAATGCCTCCCTGGGACAGGTGCCCAACATGGTCCCTCGTATCAAGCTCTCAGCGACCTCGGATCTCAAGGAGTTTCATGGAAAAAGACCAAGATGAGGACCGAGCACGCAGCTGGGTGACCACTGTGAAGACCGCGTTCACGAGGGACCAAGCGCCAGATGGGGAGAAATGTCTCGTTTTTGGAGGATCATTGACTGGGCCTGCCCAGAACTGGTATCGTCAGCTAGGTTGCTCTGTTCGTGGAAATCGGAAGGACTTATTACAGGAATTCCAGATGCAGTTATGTGGTTTGGGGGTACCAGTGGCCCGCCAATATTACCACGCGAAGAAAAGGTCGGATGTATTTCCGCTGGACCACCTGTACCGTCTGAATGTCATTGGACTTCGAGCGAAAATCAAGATCAAGGATGTTCCGCCCAAGATCCAAAAGAAACATGTCGAACACTCCATCGAGACCTTGGACGACCCCGGCCAGGCGGACCAGTCGACCGTGTTGTGTTGGCTGATGTGGAAGAGCTGGAGGATGTGCTGAGGGCGCGTCAACGGACGAAGTCCCGACGAGGCAAGATGTTGTTTTGGGTCAAGCAAGTATCGCCATGAAGCACCAATTTCCCCTGACCGACTGAGAGAGGTAAACCGCCGCTCGGTCCATGCAGTTCGAGCGACCCCAGAGGAATAAAAGAGCAGGGAAAAAGTGATTTGGGTTAGTCTGAATCACACGTGAGTGATCGGTAAAGATACCACGTGATGTGGACTACACAATACGGAATGTGGACGTGCCAGCCGATCAAGTTAGTAGTGGATTAAATTCCGTGGTGTGGACCACACACCTTGGATAGCGATCGCACACTAAGTTATCAGAGAATCAAATCGGTTCGTGTGATGATACTCCTATTACCCTTTGTTGCCCCGTGATCCATATCCATAGACGTTCCATGTCCATATATATATCATCTTCAA